TATTTTCGGTTGCAGGGGTCAATTACAATCATTTTTTGTCAATAGTCACAACCATGAAATCCTACGCACTTTCGAGAAAAAAATTCAGGAAGTTGACAAAATCGACAAAATTAAAAAATTTCAAATCGTTCTGGAAAAATTATTCTCGGTTGCGGGGGTCAATTGCAATCATTTTTGGTGAATAGACATACCCCCGAATTCCTGCGCATTTTCTAGAAAAAAATTCAGGAAGTTGACAAAGTGGTCAAAATAAAAAAATTTCAAATCTTTCTGGAAAAATTATATTTAGTCACAGGGGTCAATTGCAATCATTTTTGGTGAATAGACATACCCCCGAATTCCTGCGCATTTTCTAGAAAAAAATTCAGGAAGTTGACAAAGTGGTCAAAATTAAAAAATTTCAAATCGTTCTGGAAAAATTATTCTCCGTTGCGGGGGTCAATTGCAATCATTTTTGGTGAATAGACATACCCCCGAAATCTTGCGCATTTTCGAGAAAAAAATTCAAGAAGGTGTGAAATATTTCGACGGGAAAAAGGAAATTTCAAATTGTTTTGGAAAAATTATTTTCGATTGCAGGAGTCAATTGCAATCACTTTTGGTGAATACACATACCCTCGAATTCCTGCGCATTTTCGAGAAAAAAATTCGAGAATGATCTCAAGATAAATCGTTGAAAATTATATTACAGAAAACGTGATTATCAAATTTGGATTCCGTTTGAACGTTCATGGATTTTTAAGGGACCTTTCCCTTAAAAATATATTAATTTTGTATCGTTAGCATAACGTATATTGAATCCTGTGGTTTGATGATGGAGCATCCTGCTAATTTTGCAAACGTGACGTAACGTTGAAGCAAAATCAGTTCTCGTGGCTTCGAACCTTCGAACATTTGCGAAACAACCAGATCGCGTTGTATAGCAACAGGCTGTCAGCCACAGGCTCGTTCATTGATGAAGATGATAAGAACGCTCCATATTACTACGAAACATTCCTCTCTGGATGAAATTTTGATGGAAAATAGATGAAGAATTTTGAGCAATTATAACACCGAAATTTATTCAGTACAACTATAATAACGTTGTAATTTACAAAACTATATTCTGATCATTTCTATACTGTTGTTTGAAAGTCTTAATAAATTATTATATTACATCATAACTTTTATTTGAAATATCGTTTCGTAAGACTACTAGTTTACGAGTAATTTTATATACGCTAAAAATTTGTCCTGCTTAATATCGAAACTGTTCTTACAAGCAATGTTCACTTCTAGAAAAACGAACTTACGAGTTCATTGTTCTGTGAATTTGAAGTGTGACTATATAAAATTGTGAAAAGTAGTTATCTGGTTTACGCAGCGAAGCCACGATATATTTTCGTTTTAATGAATTTCTGGTTTAAGATACGCTTCGGTAAGTCCCTATTCTCTCGCTGGCCTTCCTGAATAGACGATGGGAAAACCGATAATCTCGGACATGTGTGATCAGAGATTGTTCAGGACTGGAGATATCGTTTGCAATTCTTTTCTGTGCTCTGATCCAGAGCCCCTTAACACTTTACCGACCGGTAGCGGTTGATTAATCGGCTATCGGTCGGTAAGCGTTGGTCGGTAAAGAAGTTTATTAATACGCTATCGGTCGGTAAGTGTTGGCCGGTAAAAAAGTCGATTAATAGGCTATCGGTCGGTAATGTGTTAAGGTGATTGTCATCGAACGCAAATCCTTACGTTGCACTGCTACTTCGATTCACAGTATGCATCACTATAAATTGTGCTCTCTTTTCTATTTTAAATGAGACTCTGTTTGGAAAAAGAATCTTTAAGATAAGCAGGAGGCAAATCGATGTATTCAAACATTTAGGACTCTGCTAAACTCTTCTGAAGGATTACGAACAATGCACACTTATAAAATTAATCGATTATTACAGTTGTTCAGGAATGAACAGAGCCAAACGAAATAGGTGTTTCAAATGAAAAATAAAAATATTTTTTCACGTTAATGCCTAATAAATGTGTTTTGATACCAAAACTAATTTTGGTGGAGTAACGAATAAAAATAAAACTCTTGAAAACCAATGATAACTGGCAATAATAATTGAAGATAATTATTTCAAGAATCTTCAATAAGAAAAGACAAACTTCTTGAAATAGTTCTTCTTCGATATTCGTCTCGCTACGAAAGATAAAATTAAATGAAAATTTCCTGTCAGAAAGATTTTCTCTATGAAACTAACGTCCGCAGTGATTCAATAGTGTTCGAAAGTGGGACTGTTATAAATAAGATAAGGAAGTAAGAGCAAAAAGGGGCGATAGGATGCATTCCGATTTTTGCTGGCCCCGTGCATTCTCCGTGCTGCTTTCGAAGTATGAATTATGCATTCGCTTTGAAGTATCGACGCCGCCTGAATAGAGGGAGTTTGGAACGCATTATTGCGGTAAATCAATGATTTATCACCAACGATCCTACCAGCATAATTTCGAGCAACTTTTATTCAGATCGAACTACGAAGATGTATTACGAGATACGAATATTTTTAGGAAGACTGGAACCAATTTCTCGACAAGGTTCTTTTTTAATTTCAAATACATGTTGCTACGTGTATTATACAGGGTGTTCGGCCACCTCCAGCAAAAATTTTAATGAGCGATAGTAGAGGCCAAAATAAGACGAAAATCAAGAATACTAATTTGTTGATGGAAGCTTCGTTAAAAAGTTATTAACAATTAAATTCAAAAATTTCAAATCGTTCTGGAAAAATTATTTTCGGTTGCGGGGGTCAACTGCAATCATTTTTGGTGAGTACACATACCTCCGAAATCCTATCTACTTTCGAGAAAAAAAATCGAGTAGGTGGTGAAATTTTTCGGCGAAAAAAAATTTTTCAAATCGTTTTAAAAAAATTATTTTCGATTTCGGGGATCAATTACAATCATTTTTTATCATTACACATACCTCCGAAATCGTACGCACTTTCGAGAAAAAAATTCCTTACTGAAAATCCAATTAGGTGCCTAAATTTTTCAACGGAGAAAAAAAATTGCAAATCGTTGTGGAAAAATTATTTTCGGTTGCGGGGGTCAATTGCAATCAGTTTTTGTCATTAGACATACCCACGAAATCCTGCCCACTTTCGAGAAAAAAAATAGAGAAGGTGTGAAATTATTCGAGAAAATTAAAAAATTGCAAATCGTTGTGGAAAAATTATTTTCGGTTGTAGGGTTCAATTACAGTCATTTTTGGTGAATAGACATACCCCCGAAATCTTGCGCATTTTCGAGAAAAAAATTCAGTAAGAGCGGCACTTTAAACGTTAATAACTTTTTAACGAAGCTTCCACCAACAAATTAGTATTCTTGATTTTCGTCTTATTTTGGCCTCTACTATCGCTCATTAAAATTTTTGCTAGAGGTGGCCGAACACCCTGTATAACATAGTAATTCTTATTATTAATGAGAGATTCTATAGGCCAAAATAAGACGAAAATCAATTACATCAATGTGTTGATCGAGGCTTTGTTAAAAAGTTATAGAAACTTTTCTAGCCACAGAGTATATTTACGGTAAAGAATTTTTTTCTTGAAAGAGCGTAGGATTTTGAGGGTATGTCTATTCACCAAAAACGATTGCAATTGACCCCTGCAATCGAAAATAATTTTTCCAAAATAATTTGAAATTTTCTTTTCTCCGTCAAAAAGTTTCACACTTCTCGAATTTTTTTCTCGAAAATGCGCAGGATTACGGGGGTATGTGTATTCACCAAAAGTGATTGCAATTGACTCCTGCAATCGAAAATAATTTTTCCAAAACAATTTGAAATTTTCATTTTTCCGTTGAAAAATTTCACACTTCTCGAATTTTTTTCTCGAAAATGCGTAGGAATTCGGGGATATGTCTATTCACCAAAAATGCTTGTAATTGACTCTTGTAACTAAATATAATTTTTTTCGTAAGTTTTGAAATTTTTTAATTTCGTTTAAAAATTTCAGTACCTTCTCGAATTTTTTTCTAGAAAGTGGGTAGGATCTCGGGGGTATGTCTAATGACCAAAAATGATTATAATTGACTCCTGCAATCGAAAATAATTTTTCCAAAACAATTTGAAATTTTCATTTTTCCGTTGAAAAATTTCACACTTCTCGAATTTTTTTCTCCAAAATGCGTAGGAATTCGGGGATATGTGTATTCACCAAAAATGCTTGTAATTGACTCTTGTAACTAAATATAATTTTTTTAGTAAATTTTGAAATTTTTTAATTTATTTTAAAAATTTCAGTACCTTCTCGAATTTTTTTTTAGAAAGTGGGTAGGATCTCGGGGGTATGTCTAATGACCAAAAATGATTATAATTGACTCCTGCAATCGAAAATAATTTTTCCAAAACAATTTGAAATTTTCATTTTTCCGTTGAAAAATTTCACACTTCTCGAATTTTTTTCTCGAAAATGCGCAAGATTTCGGGGGTATGTCTTTTCACCAAAAATGATTATAATTGACCCCTGCAACCGGAAACAATTTTTCCAAAACAATTTGAAATTTTCTTTTTTCCGTCGAAAAATTTCACACTTCTCGAATTTTTTTCTCGAAAATGCGCAAGATTTCGGAGGTATGTCTATTCACCAAAAATGATTATAATTGGCCCCTGCAACCAAGAATAATTTTTCCAGAACGATTTGAAATTTTTGAATTTAATTGTTAATAACTTTTTAACGAAGCCTCCGTCAAAGAATTGGTATTCTTGATTTTGCATAATATTTCTGTTGCTTTTCACTCGTAGAACATTCTGATACGGTTTGATCGCGAAATCTTTGAACACTCTGTACAAAATCCAATTGCAATGAAGCTCTTAAACATCGCAGTGTATGTTAAGAAATTTGTACGAGTGTTTACTAGATAAACAACGATAAGTGTGATAAACGGAGGAAGGTTTTTAATAGACATCTGGCACCATCTATAGTTATCAAGAATAAGGATAAAAATGATGTGAACTCAAGTGTTTATGCTTGTTCAGCGTAATAATTTATTATCTCGTTACATCGCTTCACAATAAATAATAACTATCTGTAGCTTATCGTTAAAAAAATTCACTCGGCGCTTACCAGCAATATCGACATCAATCACTGCGATCACTGTTCAACGTCTGCCATTTTATCTTACGTTTCGCTATCTCGTAGCAAAATTTTTCGCACGCAAGATAGATAGAACGTCAAGTTGAAAGATAGTCGCATTCTAATCAACCGAACGTGACGAGACGCAAAATTTTTCATGTTCTTCGTTCCCTACGATCGAAACAGTGAAACGATCGCTGCCAACACAAGAGTCACGATGGAAATGCTAGCTATACTTGACGCCCCACTTTTGGGGTTTCCTGGTGAGACCAAGATGACAGAAGCTTTCGCAGGAACACTGAAAGACTGTATGTTCGCAAGAGTACTGAAAAACAAACGAAAAGTTACCATTAGGAATGGAATTGATCATTCCTTAACACTTTACCGACCGGTAGCGGTTGATTAATCGGCTATCGGTCGGTAAACGCCGGCCGATAAAACAGTTGATTAATAGGCTATCAGTCGGTAAGCGTTAGCCGGTAAAACAGTCGATTAATAGGCTATCGGTCGGTAAAGTGTTAAAACATAGTTATTATTAGACGTTTGAGAGAATTTAAAACATTGTAAACTAAAGTGGATGAAATACTCTGTTACGTTAAAAGTCATTTTTCGATGTTTCGTTCCCTTTATTCGATCTTTTTGAGAATAAAGTTACTCTAGGTTAGAAATAATCCTGTGCAATGTAACATTTTAAATGCAACGTATCTATTCATTTTTTCATTCTATTTTAAGACTTTATTGACTAAATAAAACCATGCAAGACCTTATGTGGTTCATAAATAACTGAAAGCACACATATTTACATAATTTATCCGTTAAAAATGTAATTCACACTGCTTTTTCAATCTAGTATGTGTTAAGCATCGTATAGGATCTTTAATCAACCATAAGCCTAAATTACCTAATTTCAGTTGAATCAAGATAAGTTAAAACTTGTAGACACAGCAGGTTAACACATTACCGACCGATAGACTATTAATCGACTGTTTTACCGGCCAACGCTTACCGACCGATAGCGTATTAATCAACTTCTTTACCGACCAACGCTTACCGACCGATAGCCGATTAATCAACCGCTACCGGTCGGTAAAGTGTTAAATATTATTTGGTCGATTTTGTTTGCTTACTTTGGCTTCAGCCCGGAGCCCACGTTGGTCAGTTCAATCGTTGTTTTGTTCCAATTGGCCAAGCCTGTCAGATTCACCGTAACTTTGTCCTTGTTAGAAAAGTTTATGAGAAGGGCCACGGTGTTGTTACCAGCTCTTCGTAGAACAGTCAACACTTCCTTGTTTAAAACGGCTGTTTGGAGGGTGCCCTCCATGACAGCCTTCGACGAGTTTCGTAGTCCCGTCATTCCCGTGTAAACTTTGTAGTGAGAGTAGCTGTCCTTCTTCTCTTTGAGCAAATTTAGGGTCTTGTAGTTTTTGTGAACGGGCAGCCATGTTTTGCTACTGTTACTAAAGCCTGTGAACAGAAATGGCATTAACAATTAAACACTAGAGATACACGTTCAAAAGTTGTTTATCTTTCTTGGTAGAAACTAAGAAACTTGAGAGGATACATATGCAGAAACCATCTCTTTCGAATTCTTAACACATTACCGACCGGTAGAATATTAATCGACTTCTTTACCGGCCAACACTTACCGACCGATAGCGTATTAATCAACTTCTTTACCGACCAACGCTTACCGACCGATAGCCGATTAATCAACCGCTACCGGTCGGTAAAGTGTTAACTGGGAATTTGTTATAAAAAATTTGGAAGAAAAAGAAAGAAAATTTGTTCATTCTCGACTTGAAGATTCACTTCGTGCATATGCAATTACGGCTAAGATATGATTCATGGATTACAACTGCTGTGAACACACTTTTGTGAATTAAAAATAAATTTGAATACCAAGTGTACTCTTTTATTTCGATCGATGACGTGGATGTTCAGGTTAAAAGTAAATTGCTGTTAGGTGTTAAGGAAACAAAAAATGTAAAAAAGTGTGTAGGAAAATGTTGAGACTACAATAGTAGGAAGTAGACTATCGGTCGGTAAGCGTTGGTCGGTAAAGAAGTTGATTAATACGCTATCGGTCGGTAAGTGTTGGCAAGTAAAGAAGTTGATTAATAGGCTATCAGTCGGTAATGAGTTAAGATATGTAAGTACTTAAGATTTTCATATGGATAATGATGAACAAGAATAGATTACAAACAAACGCATGATTCTATTTGCATTGCACTTTTACACGAAATAGAAAAATCACATTTTCGAGATATAGTCCTCATTGTAGCGACCAACCCTTTTTTTAAATGAATTGTTTCTATATTTTTTTAAAGATAAGAGCAACCTGTATAATAATATGCAGAGTGTACCAATAGTTTGCCTTAAATAACTCCGTTATTTCTAAAAATATAAGAAAATTGTATGGTATGAAGGATCTGTGTGTAATAATTTTTATGTAAGTGGAGAATATTTTACCGTAAATGATTTTGTATCAGTCATTGAAATTGTCTAAACACATGCAATTTTACTAGGAACAGAATACTATATCATGCTATTTAAAAAAATGAATATGACCTTGAAGTCTCTAATACTCCTCCATTTATTTAAAAATTATTACATGCATATTGCGAGCTCCTTCATACCATACAATCTTTACATAAAAAGGTCAAAAGAAGCCCAAATAAGACGAAAATCAAGAGTACCAATTTGTTGATAGAGGCTTCGTTGAAAAGTTATTAACAATTAAATTCAAAAATTTCAAATTTATATGGAAAAATTATTTTCAGTTGTGGGGGTCAATTACAATCATTTTTTATGAATAGACATACCTTCGAAATCCTATCCACTATCGAGAAAAAAATTCGAGAATATTTGAAATTTTACGACTGTAAAAAAAAAATTTCAAATCGTTTTGGAAAAATTATTTTCGGTTGCGAGGTTCAATTGCAATTATTTTTGGTCATTAGTCGTATCCTCGAAATGCTACTCACTTTCGAGAAAAAATTCGAGAATATATGAAATTTTTCGACTGTAAAAAAAAAATTTCAAATCGTTTTGGAAAAATTATTTTCGGTTGCGAGGTTCAATTGCAATTATTTTTGGTCATTAGTCGTATCCTCGAAATACTACTCACTTTCGAGAAAAAAATTCGAGAATATTTGAAATTTTTCGACTGAAAAAAAAAATTTCAAATCGTTTTGAAAAAATTATTTTCATTCGCAGGGGTATATTACAATTATTTTTGGTCATTAGTCGTATCCTCGAAATACTACTCACTTTCGAGAAAAAAATTCGAGAATATTTGAAATTTTTCGACTGAAAAAAAAAATTTCAAATCGTTTTGGAAAAATTATTTTCAATTGCAGGGGTAAATTACAGTCACTTTTGGTGAATAGATATACCCCCAAAATGTTGCTCATTTTCGTTAAAAAAATTCAAAACGAGCGGAACTTTAAATGTTAATAACTTTTTAACAAAGCCTCCATCAACAAATTAGTATTCTTGATTTTCGTCTTATTTTGGCGTCTAGAATCTCCCATTAAAATTTTTCCCAGGTGTGGTCGAACACCCTGTATATATATTTTTCTAATCAACTTGTTTCTACATTAATTAGAAACATGCTATTTTATTCTCGTTTAAATTAAAATTGTCTTGTTTAAATTGTTTAAATTTAAAGACCTGCGAGGAGATATTATTTGATTCCACAGACAGTGGTGCCCTATCAATTTAAAGGAACAACTTTGTATTACAATTTAGATATTAGGATACTGGTACAAATAACGGTGACAATTTAATACAAGAAACAACAGTGAACGAGGACGTAAACGTTCGAATGAAATTGCTTGTCACGCGTGTTGCAATCATTAGATCTTCGAACGAAGATGGATCACACGTGCAACCGAAGAAACAATTTAAGTCGACAAACGAGAAACGAAGTTGAACTGTTTCTTCGGTGGAGTGTTGCGTATCAGCGAATAGCGTGCTTAGACGATTCCTCACTCACCTGCTTGGGCACTGTCGTCCCACTGGAACGGTGTACGGCAAACATCGCGAGAATCGGTCACGTTGATCTCGGTGTTATCCGCCATGCCTATTTCCTCCCCGTAGTACGTTACCGCAACACCTGGCAAGATCATTGCCAACATTATCATCTGATCCTCTCTGTCGGGATAACGGGTGGCAACACGGCTGCGATCGTGATTCCCCATCTGCAATAAACGTATTATTTTTCACATGACAGCACCAGTATAGGTAAATATAGTGTGCTTCTGAACGCGTGTAAAAAAAAATTGGCACAGGCTGTTGAAAATTGGCGACTTTGTGTGAAAGATACACGAAAATAAGTCCTCTAATTACACGTGTAGTTCTTATTGATGTTACTCTCGTTATGGAAACAATAAGTTTGGTACGAAGTGATCTTTAAGATGTTAAAGGAAGAATTCAAGCCACATCAAAACCGTACAAATTTTTATGATGGTCTCTTGGGTCGATGGAACTTTAAAAATGAAATGAACAACAAATTAAAAGCCTTCATTTTTAAAGCCACAATATTTCTAGCACTGAAAAGTATTAGATTTTAATTTTTTGTATGTTCAAATTGTGATAATTTTCCTTAAAGTTATGATTAACACGTTGACTGCCACACCAAAACCACAATTTACAATTTTCTACGAGCTCAAAGCTTCAATTATAACCAATTGTAAACTGCATAACTTAAAATTTGTCTTCGGTATTTATTTTCGTAACCACGTTGAACATGCTCCTATACAAATTTATTTAACGTTTCAATTTCAATTTCAAAATGAATTGTTTCAGTTCCATAGTGGGGAAAATACTTATAATAATATTTATATTATTAATAATGCTTATATTATTAAAATACTTGTTCAGTTATATTTCTCGAAAGCTAATAGAGGTAGAAAAGGAAAGTAAGGGGCGCGTTTTGGTCGAGGATTGAATATATAGCAATCGAGATGTCGTGGGAGCGCTTGTGAGAGCGCGAGCCCTCTGGTGGCGAGCATTGGAAGCGACGCCACAGATGAAAACGTTGAATATGAAGAGTTTTGCGAGTTACAATTTTTTACGAGTCCAGAAACTTGGATTTTAAACAACTGTAACCTGCATAACTTAAAATTTGTCTTCGGTGCTTATTTTCGTAGCCACGTTAAACTTCGTCCCATACAAATTTATTTGACATTTCAATTTCAATTTCAGAATAAATTGTGTTAAAGTCTTGTCACTCATATATGGGTGACGTGGCAGTGAAAGTGTTAATTGTAATAACTATGTAACTACTATTGTTAGATGAGATGATGGCTACTTAGAAACTGAACGACGCAAGAGGCGGCTTCTCTTCTTAGATTCTTGGTTATTATTGGGTAAGTCGATCAGGAAGTCTCTAAAGAAGTCAAGAACCTAAACACTGGAGGGGATTAAGTGGAACTTACGGATAGTTCTTTTTACCCTTTGCGTCGTTTAGTTCGTGGATAGTGTGTCATCATCACATCTGCCAATAGTACATATTGTGAAGGGGGTTTGCTCGCCCCACCGCAGCGCCATCTTAGTATGCGCCATGTAGTCGTACTTAGGACTTAGATCCTCTTGATAAAATTGAAATCTTAAGTAACAAATACTTTCAATCTTAGACAATGAATTTTTAATGAAATTAAATTAGGATGAGCTGGAAATTAGAGTCTTGAAGGGGGATTGCTCGTCCCACCGCAGCGCCATCTTAGTATGCGCCATGTAGTCGTACTTAGGACTTAGATCCTCTTGATAAAATTGAAATCTTAAGTAACAAATACTTTCAATCTTAGACAATGAATTTTTAATGAAATTAAATTAGGATGAGCTGGAAATTAGAGTCTTGAAGGGGGATTGCTCGTCCCACCGCAGCGCCATCTTAGTATGCGCCATGTAGTCGTACTTAGGACTTAGATCCTCTTGATAAAATTGAAATCTTAAGTAACAAATACTTTCAATCTTAGACAATGAATTTTTAATGAAATTAAATTAGGATGAGCTGGAAATTAGAGTCTTGAAGGGGGATTGCTCGTCCCACCGCAGCGCCATCTTAGTATGCGCCATGTAGTCGTACTTAGGACTTAGATTCTCTTGATAAAATTGAAATCTTAAGTAACAAATACTTTCAATCTTAGACAATGAATTTTCAATGAAATTAAATTAGGATGAGCTGGAAATTAGAGTCTTGAAGGGGGATTGCTCGTCCCACCGCAGCGCCATCTTAGTATGCGCCATGTAGTCGTACTTAGGACTTAGATCCTCTTGATAAAATTGAAATCTTAAGTAACAAATACTTTCAATCTTAGACAATGAATTTTTAATGAAATTAAATTAGGATGAGCTGGAAATTAGAATCCCTGGGAACAATTTTAATGGAAGATTCTAGAGGCCAAAATAAGACGAAAATCAAGAATACTAATTCGTTGATGGAGGCTTCGTTAAAAAGTTATTCACAAAGTTGTTAATAAAATTTGCCCATCTACACGAATTTTTTTCTCGAAAGTGGGTAGGATTTTGGGGGTATGTCTATTCACCAAAAATAATTGTAATTGACTCTTGCAAGCGAAAATAATTTTTCCGGAACGATTTGAAATTTTTTAATTTTGTCAAAAAATTCGTCCAATTACTGAATTTTTTTCTCGAAAATGCGTAGGAATTCGGGGGTATGTCTATTCACCAAAAATGATTGTATTTGACCTCAGAAACTAGAAATAATTTTTTTAAAAAGATTTGAAATTTTTTCTTTTTAGGCACCCAACCCCCCGTCGATTTTCCTTAAAAATTGGTTTTTGATTTTTAGTAATTTTGTTTGACACCCTTTAGAAAAATTGTCTAATACTTATTTGTAGGTACCTATGAGCACTACTTTAGAAAAAAATTTCAATGAAATATATTCACTATTGTGGGAGTTCTGACTGTTTGAAAATTGGACCATTTTTATGGGGTTTTTCGCATTTTGCAGGGTCAAGGATCAACTTTTCGAATATTTTTGCAATTTGTACATATTCTCCGCTAAAATACGCGTAGTTTGCATTTTGAAACATTAAAATCGTCCAATCCGTTCAGAAGTTATGATGTTTTAAAGATTCACATGAAATTTTAGGGAAACATTTCAGGCCTCACATTAGAATTTCGGTAAGGAATTTTTTTCTCGAAAATGGTCAGGATTTCGTGGGTATGTCTATTCACAAAAAATGATTGTAATTAACCCGCGCAATAGAAAATAATTTTTCCAGAATGATTTGAAATTTTTTAATTTCGTCTTCAAATTTCAGTACATACTCGAATTTTTTTCTCGAAAGTGGGTATAATTTCAGGTGTATGTGTATTCACCAAAAATGCTTGTAATTAACCCTAGTAACTAAATATATTTTTTTTAGCATAATTTGAAATTTTCTAATTTCGTCTAAAAATTTCAGTACCTACTCGAATTTTTTTCTCGAAAGTGCATAGAAATTCGAGGATATGTCTAGTCACCAAAAATGCTTGTAATTAACCCTTGTAACTAAATATAATTTTTCTAGTATGATTTGAAATTTTTTAATTTCGTCTAAAAATTTCAGTAGCTACTCGAATTTTTTTCTCGAAAATGGTCAGGATTTCGAGGGTATGTCTATTCACCAAAAATGCTTGTAATTGACCCCTGTGACTAAATATAATTTTTTCAGGATGACTTGAAATTTTTCTAATTTAATTTGTTAATAACTTTTTAGTGAAGCCCCAATGAACAGATTGATATTCTTGATTTTCGTCTTATTTTTGCCTCTGGAATCTCCCATTAAAATTTGTTTCAGGTGTGTCTGAACACCCTGTATATTAACATATTTTCATTGAAATTGAAATTGAAAAATTTGATAATTTTGACGTAAGTATTCTTCTATAGATATAAGCTGATCAGTTATTGACATACCACCCAATTCGGGACTTTCTCGTTTGGCGTAAGCTTTATCCAGTTGTCTATAACATTCTGAAAATCGGTCGCAGTGGAGTTCGCGTTCACGTCTGTTATGAATTTGAAGTTGAATGGAACGTTCGCGCCAAAGTTGTAGTACTTGATCGTGTTGTTCAAATTGGTGTATGCCTCCGTCATTAGCACCTGTAATTTGAAACAATAAACAATTACATATTACACCGTTCACACATATCGAATGCAACCGCGGAAAATTTAACTGCTAATTACTATTGTAATATTAAAATCTGTAATATTAACTTATCGTTTCCAAGATTGTCTAAACAATTAAATAAATCTCTGAACATAATAATCTTGCAATGACAAGCAGAAAGATAACTAACAAATGACACTTTCATTGGTAATAAAAACAACTATTGTTTGCTAAAATTCTTCTTATTACAAGATAAAGTAGTTTTTAATTATGTCTCTTCTCATCACTGTGACTATCTCACTCATAATTTTCCAAAATATTTCCACAATAATTTTCATCTAATGTTTCAGTTTTGTACACCTAATCACGCGTTTCGAATTTTCGATTATCCTAATTGATCGTAAAAAAATTGAAATGGAATTTTTTCTTACTATTTCGTCCCTGCTAGAATCTTCAGCGTATTTGTCTACGAAATCCCGCCAACTTTGCACCAGCTTATACGTTTCATCCTGATCCTTAGTATAAATATGATTTAAGTAATTAAAATCGGTTGGTTTAGCACCTGGTGTTCCACTTTCAGGCTCGTCTCGTTTTTGTTTATCCTCGATCAAATGCGGTACAGCATCTATACGGAATCCATCAACCCCGAAGTCCAACCAATATTTGATCACGTCCTAGAAAACGTTTACAATAAATCACGATAAGTAAAATATAATTATCTTCGTGAAGATTCACCGACCGGACGAGCACAAGATATCTATAAAAGTGTTTTGTAATTACACAAATACTTTCAGTGATTCGATTACAAATAGAATCCTAATTAATAAGGCGTTCGTGGAATATATTTTAACTATCTCTGGTAAAGATGATATTACTGTACCTTCATCTCGTTCTGTACGTTCTCGTTTAAGTAATTCAAATCGGGTTGTGCTGGATAGAATTGGTGATAGTAGAATTGTTTTCGATCCTTATTATATGTCCAACCTGAACCATTGAACACACTGAGCCAGTTGTTTGGCTCTTTAGGAACATCATTTACCACAGTTCCGTTATCCCATATGTAATAATCAACATACTTGCCCGTTTTATTTAAACTCAGTTTGAACCAGTCGTGTTCGTCGGAAGTATGATTAGGAACGAGATCTAGAATAACCTGAACACCGAGAAGAAACTTATTTGCATGCTTACAATTATCAACAAATTGAATGGACAATGCGCAAAAGTTTTCGGAAAAATAACAGATCAAAATTAAAATACGCCGAACAAAGATTCTTGTTGACATTTCTAAACTCAAACGTATTATTGCAATGTACATGAGAGACTCGAATAACGTTAACACATTGCCGACCGATAGCCTATTAATCGACTGTTTTACCGACCAACGCTTACCGACCGATAGCGTATTAATCAACTTCTTTACCGACCAACGCTTACCGACCGATAGCCGATTAATCAACCACTACCGGTCGGTAAAGTATTAATATTTTTTGGTAAAGAACATTCATCGACTGTCATCAATATTTAATCGAACGACATATCATAATGTTTTTTTCTGTGTCACCTTTCAAGAAATCATAAATCTATATTAACGTGTGGAAATATCTCGAGAACTAATCATTTTATGGCCATGGTACCCTAATCATTTTTTACGTAGAATGAACAGAGGAATCGATCTGCGCAAAAAAAAATATGCGTTTCTATTTAAAGAAATGATGCAATTGTTAATTGTACATGTACTGTTGCATCTAAAAAAAATTTAAAGGCCTACGGATGTAGTGCTCCTCGAACCATTTATCTTTCTCCTTTGGCATTTTCTCGTAAATGCAATAATAACGGTGTTATAAACAATTGCGTGGACCACCCTGTATATGTGGTTCGATGAAGACATTTTTTGAAAATATCTCGAGATCTAATAATTTTTTGGCCATTGTACCCTAATCATTTTTTACGTAGAATGAACAGAGGAATCGATCTGCGCAAAAAAAAATATGCGTTTCTATTTAAAGAAATGATGCAATTGTTGATTGCACACGCGCTGTTGCATCTAAAAAAAATTTAAAGGCCTACGGATGTAGTGCTCTTCGAACCATTTATCTTTCTCATTTGGCATTTTCTTGTGAATGCAATAATAACGGAGTTATGACTCGAAACGATTACCGCCCTGTATAGCAACCGAGGAGTCGGTCGAGCACTTGTGAGAGCGCGACTCCCTCTGGCGGCGAGCGTGGGAGGTACATTAATCCTTCGAGTATCGAGGAACGAGAAAAATAGAGAAATAATCATGCACTATAAATTTTCTTAGGTTAAAAATTAATGAAAATATTACCAATTGTAACGAATACACGATTCTGCTTTTTTAACCTGATATCTATGAATGCTTCCAATCGTTGTTGGTTTTACTTTATCGAACATTGAGCTGACTTTTCCTTTTAATTTCAAAAAGAAGTCTCCTTTTCGTCATATTTTAATCACACGATATTTAAAATTCAATTTAAATTCCGCTCTCGCTGATCAGAGCAAAATAGTTAAAATTCAAATGTTTATAAACACATTACCGACCGATAGCCTATTAATCGACTGTTTTACCGGCCAACGCTTACCGACCGATAGCCTATTAATCAACTGTTTTACCGACCAACGCTTACCGACCGATAGCCGATTAATCAACCGCTACCGGTCGGTAAAGTGTTAATTTTACGATGTGTTGATTCTATCGTTAGAATCATTGATTGTTTCCTGACGCGTATAATGCAGAATTGACTGATTCTAATTATTGAATTTGAAATATTTCTAATGCAGTAATATCGAGTATGCGTATGCATGATATACCTTTAATTTCAGCTCTTTGGCCTTGGCTATAAGATTCTTCAGATCGTCCAAAGTTCCAAAGATTTTGTCGACACTTTTGAAATCTGATATATCGTATCCGAAATCGCGCATAGGGCTCTTATAGATCGGCGACAACCAGATTGCTCCAATTCCGGAATCCTTAATGTGCGCCAATTTACTCATCATACCTGTCAAAACAATATCAAACGAATGCAAATTAATTTCTATCCGACATTACCGACGAATTTTATTTTCATTCGTTATCTTATTCTCAAGTTAATTCTGTACCGATCGTTAACACATTACCGACCGATAGCCTATTAATCGACTTTTTTACCGGCCAACACTTACCGACCGATAGCGTATTAATCAACTGTTTTACCGACCAGCGCTTACCGACCGATAGCCGATTAATCAACCGCTACCGGTCGGTAAAGTGTTAAAATACATTTCTGCATAAATTATTAACTGATTAAATAAGTAATTAATTATTTGTGTGCATTTATTGACAGATACATAATTCTATAATTCATTTATACAACTTGAATAAGACTTTATACGATAGAATCACTTAACACTTGAAACAATAAAATTTCGTTTCTATCAAATATACACGTGAAATTAGTGTTTGGGATTAGAAATGTGGCTCGAAGCATACTGAAATTTTTCTGAAATTTCTCAGATCAAGTAACACTCGAACAAAGTAAATTCACTCACTTAAATCATTAAAAGAAAATCATTAAAAAACTTAAGATAGATGTTTCTTCTTAATCATTGGGGTGCAAGTAGGTATCTGTTATCTAACACTTCGAGCTAACATATACAGGGTGTTCGGCCACCTCTAGCAAAAATTTTAATGAGCGATAGTAGAGGCCAAAATAAGACAAAAATCAAGAATACCAATTTGTTGATGGAAGCTTCGTTAAAAAGTTATTAACGTTTAAAGTGCCGCCCTTACTGAATTTTTTTCTCGAAAATCCGCAAGATTTCGGGGGTATGTCTATTCACCAAAAATGACTGTAATTGAACCCTACAACCGAAAATAATTTTTCCACAACGATTTGCAATTTTTTAATTTTCTCGAATAATTTCACACCTTCTCTATTTTTTTTCTCGAAAGTGGGCAGGATTTCGTGGGTATGTCTAATGACAAAAACTGATTGTAATTGACCCCCGCAGCCGAAAATAATTTTTCCACAACGATTTGCAATTTTTTTTCTCCGTTGAAAAATTTAGGCACCTAATTGGATTTTCAGTAAGGAATTTTTTTCTCGAAAGTGCGTACGATTTCGGAGGTATGTGTAATGATAAAGAATGATTCTAATTGATCCCCGCAACCGAAAATAATTTTTTTAGAACGATTTGAAAAATTTTTTTTCGCCGAAAAATTTCACCACCTACTCGATTTTTTTTCTCGAAAGTAGATAGGATTTCGGAGGTATGCGTACTCACCAAAAATGATTGTAGTTGACCCCCGCAACCGAAAATAATTTTTCCAGAACGATTTGAAATTTTTGAATTTAATTGTTAATAACTTTTTAACGAAGCTTCCATCAACAAATTAGTATTCTTGATTTTCGTCTTATTTTGGCCTCTACTATCGCTCATTAAAATTTTTGCTAGAGGTGGCCGAACACCCTGTATATATATATGGTAAATTTTTTTTATTTTAATTTCAATTACGAACCCCAATTCGAATTTCCCTCGATTTAGAAAACAATTTTAACGACGATTTCAGTAATTTAAATAGGTTAAAAAGCTCGCGATTTTGTTCCCGACACGCAGTATTGCAAGAACGTTCGTTTTTTTCTGTTTTTATCGGACAAGTGCGACTGATAGTCGCTGTGTGCAGCCTTTCGAAGTATTATCAAATGCCGTATGGCGATAAACTTGAATATCTTGACGCATCAGAACCAAAACAGTTTAATATCGAAGGGCGTGTACGAATGTGCTTATCAGGTTTCGCATTAATATAATGAAATATTCCATTTCTGTATTTTTCATTTCATGATTCGATCTCTTCCTTCTTAGACGAGCATCTTATTAACGTATCTTTCTCTTTTCAGGTAAGTTACGAACCCAAAGAATCTACTCTTCGTGCCAATAAACGTAAGTAGAAGCTCGAAAAGTCCATGATTTTTTATTCTATTAGCACTGAACAACGAGAATAGTGTTTAGAAAAGTGTTGAACTAAGTTTTCGTTGCGATAGGCGTATTTTTATGGCCACTTCCGAATCATTGCCATGTTTCAGACTCCTATAGAAAGAATCGAACTATACAATCGAGAATAAAGTGATTCTACGTGCAAAAAATCAATCTAGAACATAAAATACAATATTTTTCTACTAAAATAACATTCTCTAAATTTGCAATAATCCTTCTAATTACGAACAACACCTAAAGATTAAGCGTTGAACTAAGTTTTCGTTGCGATAAGCGTATTTTTATGGCCACTTCCGAATCATTGCCATGTTTCAGACTCCTATAGAAAGAATCGAACTATACAATCGAGAATAAAGTGATTCTACGTGCAAAAAATCAATCTAGAACATAAAATACAATATTTTTCTACTAAAATAACATTCTCTAAATTTGCAATAATCCTTCTAATTACGAACAACACCTAAAGATTAAGCGTTGAACTAAGTTTTCGTTGCGATAAGCGTATTTTTATGGCCACTTCCGAATCATTGTCATGTTTCAGACTCCTATAGAAAGAATCGAACTATACAATCGAGAAGAAAGTGATTCTACGTGCAAAAAAACAATCTAGAACATAAAATACAATATTTTTCTACTAAAATAACATTCACTAAATTTGCAATAATTACGAATAACACCTAAAGATTGCTTGCACGTTACATCACCAACGTGAACGAAAGGAAGCAGGATGTCAGAAGCATAATTATGCCAGACTCCTCTTCTCACGAGTGATGTCATCCACAAACCTCAAGGAAGCAAAATAGAACAATATGATTTATTATTTCAGAGACGACGATTCTTCGACTTTTGCATTAACAATTCTTTTGTGATCCAAAAGCGTGACCAAATCGTTTCACGTTTTTTTCAACTCCATCTACAGACACGTACAATTTACAAGCTATTTTCAACAAAGAAACTTATTCATCATGAATAATTAACCAGAAATTTTATTACTGGGTAAATAATTAAAATTAATAAAAGTGTTAGGACACTTGACTTGTTTTTTGTAGATTTTTCCAATTCCATTTCCAACTTCATTTTTAGGATTATTTAATTGGACGAATATGATTGATTTAGTTATAGAAACTTTTGAAATTGTTCAATATTTATACAGTTTCTCTTCGCTGTATTTAAACAACAGTGTCTGCGATTAGATTTTAATTCAGGATGACTGCATAACTTCGTTGTGATCCTCTATCTTGATTACTCTTATATAATTATTTAAAACTACTGTGAAGCGTAACAAAATTTTTAATAACAATTTAACATCCTGTGCCTTTTTCCTGTACAAAAGAAGAAGAATTTTAAAATAAAACTATCTCTAAGAATTACCCTATGGTCTAAAGTATATTTCATAATTATTTTGGAGAAATTATAAGGAAAATGGAAATTTCAAAATTGAGCTTATACTGTAAAAAAAGTTTGCTCCTATGTGAAGTAATCAGAACGTTCGAACGGTACAAACCGACATACTAAAACATCCAATAAACGTGATAGAAGACAGACAGCCTTCGAAAGCACTGAAAAATCGAATAAAAATTGAAACGATGCAATTTTGCTAATAAAAAGGTTACTTTTACGGTATCTGTGATCGTTCAGTTGTCGAAAGGCAATCGTTAAAAATGTGAAATCAGGCTGAGAGATTTCAATAGGCTGAATATCACGAAGACTCGACAATGGAAGAGTTTCTTATAATATAGAGTTTCTTATAATTTGAGATATTTATATTCAATACAATGCAAAAAATAAATAAGAGACAGTTAAGCACGAAAGTTCGTCCGTTATAGTGAGATTTTTATATTGGTAACAGTAGAGTTAGAGGTTTAATTGAAATAACTGGAATGTTAAAAAATGAACACATTAAAAATCGAATAATAGGAACCAATTCCACTTTTATGCACGATAACAAGCCAAAGTTAATTGCAAAATTGTGTAAGGATTATTTGTGACAAGTATAAGAAAATTCTAGCATAACAGTGATGAAATAGCCTGATTTTCACCTAATAGAGAAGCTTCTCGAGAGCATTCAGATTGCAATAACGAAAAATATGTCCCAAATCGGAGAAGGATTAATGAAAAATCTTGGAAAAGGAATGAAAATGTCAGAAATCGTTAAAAGAACGAGGCAGATATACACCTCTAGCAAAAATTTTAATGAGCGATAGTAGAGGCCAAAATAAGACGAAAATCAAGAATACTAATTTGTTGATGGAAGCTTCGTTAAAAAGTTATTAACAATTAAATTCAAAAATTTCAAATCGTTCTGGAAAAATTATTTTCGGTTGCGGGGGTCAACTACAATCATTTTTGGTGAGCACGCATACCTCCGAAATCCTATCTACTTTCGAGAAAAAAAATCGAGTAGGTGGTGAAATATTTCGGCGAAAAAAAATTTTTCAAATCGTTCTAAAAAAATTATTTTCGGTTGCGGGGATCAATTACAATCATTCTTTATCATTACGCATACCTCCGAAATCGTACGCACTTTCGAGAAAAAAATTCCTTACTGAAAATCCAATCAGGTGCCTAAATTTTTCAACGGAGAAAAAAAATTGCAAATCGTTGTGGAAAAATTATTTTCGGTTGCGGGGTTCAATTGCAATCAGTTTTTGTCATTAGACATACCCACGAAATCCTGCCCACTTTCGAGAAAAAAAATAAAGAAGGTGTGAAATTATTCGAGAGAATTAAAAAATTGCAAATCGTTGTGGAAAAATTATTTTCGGTTGTGGGGTTCAATTACAGTCATTTTTGGTGAATAGACATACCCCCGAAATCTTGCGCATTTTCGAGAAAAAAATTCAGTAAGGGCGGCACTTTAAACGTTAATAACTTTTTAACGAAGCTTCCATCAACAAATTGGTATTCTTGATTTTTGTCTTATTTTGGCCTCTACTATCGCTCATTAAAATTTTTGCTAGAGGTGGCCGAACACCCTGTATAGATGAAAATGGATTATAATTATAATTTGATGGAATATTCTACTATAATTCAATAGAAAATGCTCTAAGTGTCTAAATACTATTGCTCGTTGTTCCTCAACAACTGATCTCATCGAATTTTCTGATCGAAAACTAAATTCTCGAAACTAGGAACACAATTTTCCGAATTATAGGAAGCTAAATAAAAACAATAGAAATGCATCTCTAATAATATGAGGAATAAAAAATACTCGAAACGAGAGCGACACCTGATAGATTGTGTTTACAGGAACAGAGAGTAATTAGCGCGTTGGAATGATTAATTACAAGGACGTTGGATCTTAGGCGTGACTTTAAACTGATTCACATTCACACATGTGTCAAAGATGGCGGCGTTAATTTCACGACAATCCGTTCACGATGGCGATCGATGGATCGCGAGGACTCCAAGAAAGCACTGTCTTATTTCGAGAAAAACCCCCCGGAGAAAATAGATTCGAGCTGAACGAAAAAAATCGCACGTTTGGTCGAAATGTCGAGGATCATCGTACCTTTCAAGTCCCCGACGCCATCGTTGTCAGAGTCCATGAAGCTTCGCGGGTATATTTGATAGAAGACCATATTTTTCCACCATCCCTTGTTCTTGATTTCGGCGGAAGTCAACGCGACCGCCGCCAGTAGGATGACAATATGACCGATGCTCTTCATGATTACGATTACGTGACGCGCGATCGCGCTGCCCGTTTATATGGAAAGTTCGACGGTAAAAAAGAACAGCCGTTCTAGTATATTTGTTATCATTCGAGCACGGGATAAGTCGCGATAAGGACGCGACGCTAGACTGGTCAGCGGCCATTTTCCACCTTGAAAAATTAAAAATTCGTTTACGACTGGATTAGGACAGCGTCCATTTCTCTACAAATTCATTTTTCTATCGATTTCTCGGATTATATCTGTGTAAAAAGATATCAAGATACAATGAAAAAGTAGTAATTCCTGAGAAATTTTAATTATTGAAGTTATTAAAGTTTGCTTACGTCATGAAATATTTTCTAAAGTTCCTACTTCCTGTTTACGTTATCGTGACGATAAACTATCGATAGCTAAGTGTATTTTAATATTCACTAGAGCTTTTGTCTTCCAAAGATCGAATGTTGTTGATGATTGATAAGTCTTGAAAAATTTGCAATTGCATTTTTCAAATGCATCGTTGCAACTTGTAAAAAGAAATGAAATTATTATACTATTCAACTTTTTCCTCTACTATTTCTTCGTGCAATGGAAGCATTAAAAGTATACTTTGAATTTTTCGTTTTCAAGATCATTTGAAAATCATATTATTATACATATACAGGGTGTTCGACAACCCCTGGGAAAAATTGTAGTGCGAGATTTTAGAGGCCAAAATAGGACGAATATCAAGAATACTAATTTGTTTATGGAGGCTTCGTTAAAAAGTTATTAACTTTTAAAGTTCCGCTCGTTTTGAATTTTTTTCTCGAAAATGCGCAGGAATTCGGGGGTATGTGTAATCACCAAAAATGATTGTAATTGATCCCCACAACTGAAAATAATTTTTTCAGAACGATTTGAAATTCTGTTTTTTCGAAGAAAAATTTAGGCATCTTCTCGAATTTTTTTCTAGATAATGCGTAGGATTTCGGCGATATGTGTAATGACTAAAAATGATTGTAATTGACCCCCACAACTGAAAATAATTTTTTCAAAACGATTTGAAATTCTGATTTTTCGAAGAAAAATTTCGGCACCCTTGACGAATTTTTTTCTGGGAAACGCGTAGGATTTCGGGGGTATGTGTAATGATAAAAAATAATTGTAATTGACCCCTGCAACCGAAAATAATTTTTCCAGGACGATTTGAAATATTTTAATTTTGTCGACAAATTTCAGCACATACTCGAATTTTTTTCTCGAAAATGCGTAGGATTTCGAGGGTATATGTATTAACCAAAAATAGTTGCAATTGATCTTCCTAGCTAAAAATATTTTTTTTAGAACGATTTGGAAATTCTTTTTTTTTGCCGAATTAGGCTTGTCGATTTTTCTTAAAAATTCGTTTCTGATTTTTAGTAATTTTGTTTGACGTCCTATAGGAAAGTTGTCTAATACTTTTTTGTAGGTACTCATGAGCTCTACTTCAGAAAAAAGTTTCATTTAAATATATTCACTATTGTAGGAGTTATGGGTTTTTGAAAATTGGACCATTTTTATGCGGGTTTTCTTATTTTGCGGGGTCAAGGATCAACTTATCGAATACTTTTGCGATTTGTACATATTCTCCGCTAAAATACGCGTTGTTTGCAATTTGAAACATTAAAATCGTCCAATCCGTTCAGAAGTTATGACACTTTAAAGATTCACATGAAATTTCGAGGAACCATTTCTGGCCATAAATTACATTTTCGTTTAGGAATTTTTTTCTCCAAAATGCGCAAGATTTTGGGGGTATGTCTATTCACCAAAAATAATTGTAACTGACCCCTGCAACCAAAAATAATTTTTCCAGAATGATTTGCAATTTTTTTTTTTTTCGTCGAAAAATGTCACACCTTCTGGAATTTTTTTCTCGAAAATGGTCGGGATTTCGAGGGTATGTCTATTCACCAAAAATAATTGTAACTGACCCCTTCAACCGAAAATAATTTTTTCAGAATAATTTGAAATTCTGTTTTTTCGAAGAAAAATTTAGGCATTATTGTCGAATTTTTTTCTAGAAAATGCGTAAGATTTCGACGATATGTGTAATGACTAAAAATGATTGTAATTAACCCCTGCAACCGAAAATAATTTTTTGTAATAGTTTTGAAAATAGTTTTATCAATTTATTTTGAAACAGAAGCGAAACGTGTTGCTACTTGATATTTATTTTACATATTTACGTTCTATCGTGTAAAAATTGAGCAACGTAGAATATTATTTATGTTAATTTGTTTTTTAACGTGGTTGTATGTGTTGTCCATGCACTGGGAATGTATCAAAGTGTTAACAAGGAGCAATCGAACTGGTTCCTCATCGCTCTATGATTAACGCAGCTACGATGTCGATGACGTGAAATGAAACTATAGTTGTAAATGTATTTGTCAATCACTTTAACTCGTAACTCATCTTTTATGGCATCCTTCACGAGCCATTTAATACCGTTTTATCAATTTATTTTGAAACGGAAGCCAAACGTGTTGCTACTTGATATTTATTTTACATATTTACGTTCTATCGTGTAAAAATTGAGCAACGTAGAATATTATTTATGTTAATTTGTTTTTTAACGTGGATGTATGTGTTGTCCATGCACTGGGAATGTATCAAAGTGTTAGCAAGGAGGAATCGGGGTCCGTGAATTAAAATATTAGAAAGCAGCGTCCGCCTTTCGAACGGTCGCGAAATACTTTGGAAAGTTAAGAAGTGAGATTCGTATGGAATCCGGCGATGGGTATCTGCGATTCAGCCGCGATTATAATTGGCAAGTAGATCGACGTGACTGTCGCCGATCCAACCCGGGCGAAACAGCTTCCATCGATCGTCGCTCTTAGGCTGATGCTGCCTTTGGGGAAAAAGTGAAATCGTATCAAGCAATTCGACTGCTGTCTTTCACACGGAGATGCCCCGAGGCGTAACGCTCACTTTTTAACACGTTCACTGCCACACTAAGCCCCTCAAATTGTCCAGGGAAACGAAACTTTGTCGGACAACTGGAAATTAGCATACCAATTCTCATTGAACTTATTTTTAAAAAACTTTAGTTAAAATTCAAGACTTCTATGTGAATTTAGTTTCTTTGATACTTAATCTTGATAATTAATTGTTTTAGCTCTTCAGTGGGAAATCATGTCACCCATATACAGGGTGTTCGGCCACCTCTAGCAAAAATTTTAATGAGCGATAGTAGAGGCCAAAATAATACAAAAATCAAGAATACCAATTTGTTGGTGGAAGCTTCGTTAAAAAGTTATTAACGTTTAAAGTGCCGCTCTTACTGAATTTTTTTCTCGAAAATGCGCAAGATTTCGGGGGTATGTCTATTCACCAAAAATGACTGTAATTGAACCCTACAACCGAAAATAATTTTTCCACAACGATCTGCAATTTTTTAATTTTCTCGAATAATTTCACACCTTCTCTATTTTTTTTCTCGAAAGTGGGCAGGATTTCGTGGGTATGTCTAATGACAAAAACTGATTGCAATTGACCCCCGCAACCGAAAATAATTTTTCCACAACGATTTGCAATTTTTTTTCTCCGTTGAAAAATTTAGGCACCTGATTGGATTTTCAGTAAGGAATTTTTTTCTCGAAAGTGCGTACGATTTCGGAGGTATGCGTAATGATAAAAAATGATTGTAATTGATCCCCGCAACCGAAAATCATTTTTTTAGAACGATTTGAAAAATTTTTTTTCGCCGAAAAATTTCACTACCTACTCGATTTTTTTTCTCGAAAGTAGATAGGATTTCGGAGGTATGTGTACTCGCCAAAAATGATTGTAGTTGATCCCCGCAACCGAAAATAATTTTTCCAGAACGATTTGAAATTTTTGAATTTAATTGTTAATAACTTTTTAACGAAGCTTCCATCAACAAATTAGTATTCTTGATTTTCGTCTTATTTTGGCCTCTACTATCGCTCATTAAAAATTTTGCTAGAGGTGGCCGAACACCCTGTATAGGTGTTAATTGGTCTCAAAATACTCGAACCAACGATACAAGATTTTTAAACAATATAGTATAGTAAAGTGTGATTTTTTAAAACCTTTCTTGGAGAATTTTTTTTAGATAAATTCTATCATCTTTTTGCCATCAAATTTACAAGGTTTATTTACACGCGTTTTAGGGACATTTAAACATTTTTTTTTGGCGAAGAAAAATAGTCAAACTTAGTCTCTGTTGAAGAAGATCTCACGGTGTCCATGATTCTGAAAATTTTGTGTTTGAAATGAAAAAATTTGAATGATGGATTAGTATGAGTGTCTAACTAACTACAAACAAACTAACTAACTGACTAATTGACAAACTGATTAACTAACTGACAAACTAACTAACAGACTGTCAATCGAGAAGTATAGAATTGGTAAAATTATGAAATTATTAAATAGAAGTCAATAGAAATTATTAAATAGATAGTTTAGGATTATTAAAAATTCTAAATCCCGTGGAAAAACTATACCAAGCAGGAGACAAAACGATGAATTAAGGACAAGTATTTTATTTCGATTTTTTATCAAATTGTACTTGTGGCCATTTGATCATATAACTATGAATAACAAATATAAAAAAAAATAATAATAAATAAAAAAAGTAGGTTGAAATTGTTTGGACCACATGGTACATTTACTTTGAATACAAATATAAAAAAAATAGTAATAAATAAAAAAAGTAGGTTGAAATTATTTGGACCACATGGTACATTTACTTTGGAAGTAAACTTTGAATACAAATATAAAAAAAATAGTAATAAATAAAAAAAGTAGGTTGAAATTATTTGGACCACATGGTACATTTACTTTGGAAGTAAACTTTGAATACAAATATAAAAAAAATAGTAATAAATAAAAAAAGTAGGTTGAAATTGTTTGGACCACATGGTACATTTACTTTGAATACAAATATAAAAAAGATAATAATAAATAAAAAGAGTAGGTTGAAATTATTTGGACCACATGGTACATTCACTTTGGAAGTAAACTTTGAATACAAATATAAAAAAAGTAGGTTGAAATTATTTGGATCACATGGTACATTTACTTTGGAAGTTTAATTTGGTATTATTTTGGGATTGAAAATGGGTGGCGATTAGGAATAAAACGCAAGTGTTATGTATAGATAAATATTATTTGCTTAAAGAGGAAATGCGTACATGTGTGTAAACGTGTATATGCAAATTCATAGTATCAGAATTCAGGTAAATCAATGCAAATTAAATATTTAATCACAATTTTAATAATCCGGTGGAACTTCTTCTAAATCCTGAACCGTGACTCCTTTAGTTACGTAAATCACTATTCCTCCAGAGACGACCTTGACCTTGTTCTTCTTCGGGAGAAGCCTAAATTAATAAACAAACAAATTATTTCAACGAACGACCATAAAACATTTTGTATCGCCAAGCAAAATTAATCCACATTTTAAATTGAAAAATTCGACAAATATTGAGTAAATATTAAATTAAAAAATTTTGTTTAAACTACAAACTGTTCAAATTGTACAATGATTATTCATAAAATTAGTATTAACACTTTACCGACCGATAGCCTATTAATCGACTGTTTTACCGGCTAACGCTTACCGACTGATAGCCTATTAATCAACTGTTTTATCGGTCGGTAAGTGTTGGCCGGTAAAACAGTCGATTAATAGGCTATCGGTCGGTAATGTGTTAATTTTCTCGAAAAGCGTGTTGGATTGGAAAGTGGCCAAAAGTATAATCGAAAAAAGGGTTCAATATATTCTCAAAAATAGACGGCATAGTTGTTCAAGGAACATAATTTCGCGATTAAACCTCGTAAATAAAATCAAATACACGTTTGAATTTCATTTCGAAGTGGAATTGAGGTTATCGAAGCTTCGATTCAAATTATTTGTAGGTTATGTTGAATTATTTCACAGAAATTCGTTGCTTTTCACGAAAACTGCATCTGATAAAGAAGTTATTATATTATAGTTAAGTACTCTTCTCTAAAGATCATTCTATCTTAAAATGTTAACGTAATTAAATTAATAATAAGTGAAACAGTCTAAAAAATAGGTTTCCTAGTAAAAGATCGTAATAAATCAATTTCGATACATTTTCGAACGCGATCAATAAATAAAAAAATGATTTCTATACATTTCCTTTCGAAATTCTATATTTATATTTTAGTCATAAAAACGTGAATGTGTGTTTTCTGAATTTCATTCAAATTGTAAATAACTAGCAACCGATTCGTGCTTTTTATTCAATCCTTATTTATTAAATATTTCAATCTTATTAAATATTTCAATCGTTAATTGTAATTTAATTTAACAAATAAGAGATAAAGAATCGATTGTCTTTTATTAGTTATTCGAAGTTGTAAGTTAGATAAAAATCTATATATATAAAAATAAGTTGTCCTATGTTCGTGATTTTATAACTCGAGAACCACTCAACCGATTTTCAAACGAGTACATGCGTTGGAAAGGTCTACTTTCACTGATGGTTTATAAAAAAAAAAACATCGAAAAATTTCTACGAATATGCGTTATACGCGCACTTTTATGATGGTGTTAAATAATGGCTATTATATAAAGAGAGAGCCGATTTTTATGTTCGCGCAAAACTCAAGACCTATTGAACCGATCTTCCTCAAATTTTGACACGTTATTCCTGCATACTCTAAGACGGACATAGGCTATGTAGCATGTCTCAGAAGCGCGTTATTAACATGTAATTTATATGCAAAGATTTCATGTGTACGACTGTTTGGCAGACCACGTGACCCCTGTATACGACAGTCTACTTGCGCGCGCATGCGCATATTCGGCCCGCGCGATACCACGCCTGTAGCAGTACTGCGATGTTACCGCCAGGTGGCGAAGCTTCTCGAGCGCTTTCTCGCGAGAGAATTGCACTATCGCGGTTATATATGTCAGGACGATCGTCTGGCCATAAATTGCTTTTGCACAAGGTCGAGCGAAGCCGAGACGGGGCATGCTAGGTCAATATAATTAAGCTTTGAAGCATGGTTCAGGTAAACAAAATAACCTACAGATAATTGGCTTTCGAAGATAAATTAAATTCGACGTTGATTTACAAACCTTTTTCACTTGAATATTTGTTACTATTAACTCATAAATTCTTCGAACGTTTTTCGAACCACCCTGTATATTTTCGTGGAGTCTATCATGCAATATAGTTCGAGTTTAATGCGACTCCAGAATAGTAAAAGCAGTGAAGCATGTTTCCACAGAAATAATTCTATTTATCACGATCATCGAGGTTCGTTAAATAAATAAATCAGCCTCGCAGCCATATCGTAAAAATTACTCACACTGACGCTGCACCGTCTCCTTTAGTGGCGTAATACAACTGCAATTCGTTCGATACGTTATCGAACACTGATAAGTCGACCATTTCTGTCTTTTTCCCAAGATTTGCTACCGCGTAAAGAGATCCATCCTTGGTTTCCCTGGAAAAGAAAAGAAACAGTAAATCTTCAAATATCTATCGACAATAATCGATCCTCAGTAAATTGCAGATGAAATCTTTGCTGCGATTTATTCGAAATCGAGGGCTTACCTGGCGATCGCTAAAACGTTCGCGTTGATTAATTTCGTGTCGAGAGTTCCAGTTTGAACAATCGGTGTTTTCTTTAGCTTAGCGAGTGCTTTGTAGTAGTGGAAGTAGGAGAATGTGTCTCTTCTTTCTATTGCCAGGTTGACGGTTTTGTAGTTTTTGTTGATCGGAAGCCAGGTTGATGAATTCGTGGAAAATCCTGGAATATCAACGTTATGGATCCAGTCACATTCTATTACTAACTCTCGTAATAGATACTAATGGAAGATTTGAATAATAAAGATAAATAAGTAGGGACTCAAGTCCATATTCACACTTTTTAATCAATTCTCTGTGCATCGCCAAGGCATTAAATTGTTAGTATAAAATTACAAAGAGACAATGTACACTTTTACTGTTTTATTGTTTATTTTATTTTTTTGTCACTTTTTTGTATGTTTTTATGAACTGTTCCGTTTAGTTAGATAAGCTTGCAAGTGACAAGTATGAAACACTATGAATCGTTACAAATTTTTGACAAATTTTGTTAGCTATTATTATATCATTTTGAAATCGATTATTACATTAGAAAGTGTGAACTATATTATTGTGAGATTTGTTTTAGGTATCAAAACGATGAATCCTAGATGTTATTTTTTAGTTGATATTACAAATGACGTTCTCGTCAGCGATTTTCATGTATCCTTGTTCATTATAATCGCAATTTTTCTGTAAAAATGTACGCATTGTACTCGAGTGGACCCTTTTACGTAAGAATTCTATGGGAGACAGGGGAAATTTATTTCATTTTACTCAGACAGCGTCTCTCAACAAGTATCACACAACATCTGTGTCTTGGGGTGAAATCTTGAATCGTAAATCTTTGAATAAATACAGTTTTCCTTCAAACAACACGAAACAAGAGAAACTATTCTGGGGGAAAGCCTTCCTTTCTTATGGCTTGAAGAAAACAATGCAAAATTGAACTTGAAATTGTTAAATTTGGAGGATTGTAAAATCTGTGTCTTGGGGTGAAATCGGGAATCGTAAATCTTTGAATAAATACAGTTTTCCTTCAAACAACACGAAATAAGAGAAACTATTCTGGGGGAAAGCCTTCCTTTCTTATGGCTTGAAGAAAACAATGCAAAATTGAACTTGAAATTGTTAAATTTGGAGGATTGTAAAATCTGTGTCTTGGGGTGAAATCGTGAATCGTAAATCTTTGAATAAATACAGTTTTCCTCCAAACAACACGAAATAAGAGAAATTATTCTAGGGGAAAGCCTTCCTTTCTTATGGCTTGAAGAAAACAATGCAAAATTGAACTTGAAATTGTTAAATTTGGAGGATTGTAAAATCTGTGTCTTGGGGTGAAATCGTGAATCGTAAATCTTTGAATAAATACAGTTTTCCTTCAAACAACACGAAATAAGAGAAATTATTCTGGGGGAAAGCCTTCCTTTCTTATTGCTTGAAGAAAACAATGCAAAATTGAACTTAAAATTGTTAAATTTGGAAGATTGTAAAATCTGTGTCTTGGGGTGAAATCGTGAATCGTAAATCTTTGAATAAATACAGTTTTCCTTCAAACAACACGAAATAAGAGAAACTATTCTGGGGGAAAGCCTTCCTTTCTTATGGCTTGAAGAAAACAATGCAAAATTGAACTTGAAATTGTTAAATTTGGAGGATTGTAAAATCTGTGTCTTGGGGTGAAATCGTGAATCGTAAATCTTTGAATAAATACAGTTTTCCTTCAAACAACACGAAATAAGAGAAACTATTCTGGGGGAAAGCCTTCCTTTCTTATGGCTTGAAGAAAACAATGCAAAATTGAACTTGAAATTGTTAAATTTGGAGGATTGTAAAATCTGTGTCTTGGGATGAAATCTTGAATCGTAAATCTTTGAATAAATACAGTTTTCCTTCAAACAACACGAAATAAGAGAAACTATTATGGGGAAAAGCCTTCCTTTCTTATGGCTTAAAGAAAACAATGCAAAATTAATTGTTCAAAATTGAACTTGAAATTTTTACATTGGAGGATTTCAAAATAACGTGTAATAATTAATAAACTTTTAAATGAGATTCTAAGTGGCCTGTAAACTGCAATATTCTCTCGATAAATGTGAAAACTTCTTTATATTTATGGTGCACGAGACATGAAATTCTGTGCTTTATTAAGACTTATTTAACGAGGTTCATCAGCTTCAAAAGTATATGTTTAGCTTCTAAATGCACCCAGTATAAAGCAATAAAAATCTTTTCTATGGAATTCTAAAATTAAAATAGAAATTTTCCTATTCATAGTCTGAGACACTAAATTTTACACTTAAATGATAGTTGTGTTGAAATTTAGTAAATATTTAAAATCATATTACATGGAAATGACTGTGTCTTCATGTGTCTTAATTGAGTTTCACTTTGTATTCAAAATTGTGTAAAAAGTAGCATAAAAATTCAATAAAAAATTCTGTAAAATTGTGTAAAAAGTAGTATAAAAATTCAATAAAAAATTCTGTAAAATTGTGTAAAAAGTAGTATAAAAATTCAATAAAAAATTGAATCAAAAATTCTGTAAAAAATTCAATGTCTTGTTTGTGACATTTAACTTAAATATGGAATTGAATTAAGTTGATTTATCTTTCTAAATTGTAACTACAGTCCTTGCTGGATGCAGACCTTTCAATCACTATGCAAAAAAGTGCATAAGAACTTGACACAGTTGGTTACACGTCTAGTTTCAATTTTATTTTACTTTCACTACTATTTGCTACTTTATTAGTTTTCTTCTAAGTCACTTTTCAGTACAGTTCAATTAAAATATTAAAAGCAATAAAAAACAGTTAAATTATTTTCTATTAATCGATTAAATTGTTCTTCTATGGCACTTATAGTTAACTATTCTTGTGTTCATCTTTACTACAATCTACATTGATAAATCAAAGTATTATAAATCCATTGATAATTAGTTTAAATCAATGTTAATTACGATTCATTAAAGATTAAGGACTTGCCATTGCCGCTTCTAATTTCCACGCCGTAACGAAAGGATTAACGCATTAAGACGATTGAAAGTGCGATGGGTCAGCAGAAACGTAGGAAATTAGCAACAATCAACCATTTTCTGTAGCCATAATCATTCCATCAATGCATACGATTATTCTTGGTAGACGTTCTCCAAGAATTTCAAATGTTTTGATCTCTATTCTCTTACTTTCTTCCAACCTAAACATTCTAATACATCTAACAACTTTAGTCATACACAGTGATTGTGTTCTCAGAATTCTTAATTTTTCAAGATTCAAGAATTCTGATTTTATTGACGAAGGATTGGAGCAGCAAATAATAGAAAGTCTTCTCAAACTTCATTGTTTTACTCCTCGAAACGTATTGTCATGAATTTTAAATATTTATTACCAATCCATATAAAAATTATTTTTTTCGTCTACCATTATACTTGGTAGACGTTCTTCAAGAATTTCAAATGTTTTGATCTCTATTCTCTTACTTTCTTCCAACCTAAACATTCTAATACATCTAACAACTTTAGTCATACACAGTGATTGTGTTCTCAGAATTCTTAATTTTTCAAGATTCAAGAATTCTGATTTTATTGACGAAGGATTGGAGCAGTAAATAATAGAAAGTCTTCTCAAACTTCATTGTTTTACTCCTCGAAACGTATTGTCATGAATTTTAAATATTTATTACCAATCCATATAAAAATTATTTTTTTCGTCTACCATTATACTTGGTAGACGTCCTTCAAGAATTTCAAATGTTTTGATCTCTATTCTCTTACTTTCTTCCAACCTAAACATTCTAATACATCTAACAACTTTAGTCATACACAGTGATTGTGTTCTCAGAATTCTTAATTTTTCAAGATTCAAGAATTCTGATTTTATTGACGAAGGATTGGAGCAGTAAATAATAGAAAGTCTTCTCAAACTTCATTGTTTTACTCCTCAAAACGTATTGTCATGAATTTTAAATATTTATTACCAATCCATATAAAAATTATTTTTTTCGTCTACCATTATACTTGGTAGACGTTCTTCAAGAATTTCAAATGTTTTGATCTCTATTCTCTTACTTTCTTCCAACCTAAACATTCTAATACATCTAACAACTTTAGTCATACACAGCGATTGTGTTCTCAGAATTCTTAATTTTTCAAGATTCAAGAATTCTGATTTTTTGACGAAGGATTGGAGTAGTAAATAATAGAAAGTCTTCTCAAACTTCATTGTTTTACTCCTCAAAACGTATTGTCATGAATTTTAAATATTTATTACCAATCCATATAAAAATTATTTTTTTCGTCTACCATTATACTTGGTAGACGTTCTTCAAGAATTTCAAATGTTTTGATCTCTATTCTCTTACTTTCTTCCAACCTAAACATTCTAATACATCTAACAACTTTAGTCATACACAGTGATTGTGTTCTCAGAATTCTTAATTTTTCAAGATTCAAGAATTCTGATTTTTTGACGAAGGATTGGAGCAGCAAATAATAGAAAGTCTTCTCAAACTTCATTGTTTTACTCCTCGAAACGTATTGTCATGAATTTTAAATATTTATTACCAATCCATATAAAAATTATTTTTTTCGTCTACCATTATACTTGGTAGACGTCCTTCAAGAATTTCAAATGTTTTGATCTCTATTCTCTTACTTTCTTCCAACCTAAACATTCTAATACATCTAACAACTTTAGTCATACACAGTGATTGTGTTCTCAGAATTCTTAATTTTTCAAGATTCAAGAATTCTGATTTTATTGACGAAGGATTGGAGCAGTAAATAATAGAAAGTCTTCTCAAACTTCATTGTTTTACTCCTCGAAACGTATTGTCATGAATTTTAAATATTTATTACCAATCCATATAAAAATTATTTTTTTCGTCTACCATTATACTTGGTAGACGTTCTTCAAGAATTTCAAATGTTTTGATCTCTATTCTCTTACTTTCTTCCAACCTAAACATTCTAATACATCTAACAACTTTAGTCATACACAGTGATTGTGTTCTCAGAATTCTTAATTTTTCAAGATTCAAGAATTCTGATTTTATTGACGAAGGATTGGAGCAGTAAATAATAGAAAGTCTTCTCAAACTTCATTGTTTTACTCCTCGAAACGTATTGTCATGAATTTTAAATATTTATTACCAATCCATATAAAAATTATTTTTTTCGTCTACCATTATACTTGGTAGACGTTCTTCAAGAATTTCAAATGTTTTGATCTCTATTCTCTTACTTTCTTCCAACCTAAACATTCTAATACATCTAACAACTTTAGTCATACACAGTGATTGTGTTCTCAGAATTCTTAATTTTTCAAGATTCAAGAATTCTGATTTTATTGACGAAGGATTGGAGCAGTAAATAATAGAAAGTCTTCTCAAACTTCATTGTTTTACTCCTCGAAACGTATTGTCATGAATTTTAAATATTTATTACCAATCCATATAAAAATTATTTTTTTCGTCTACCATTATACTTGGTAGACGTTCTTCAAGAATTTCAAATGTTTTGATCTCTATTCTCTTACTTTCTTCCAACCTAAACATTCTAATACATCTAACAACTTTAGTCATACACAGTGATTGTGTTCTCAGAATTCTTAATTTTTCAAGATTCAAGAATTCTGATTTTTTGACGAAGGATTGGAGTAGCAAATAATAGAAAGTCTTCTCAAACTTCATTGTTTTACTCCTCGAAACGTATTGTCTACTATCTCGAAAATGTTATTTTGAAACATTTTCGAGAACCCATAATAAAAATTTGTGAAAAAGTCGAGCACAATCGCCACATAATCGTGTTGTCGTCAATATCAGGACCTTACCTGCAGCTTTACTGCGATCCCACTGGAAGGGAGTCCTGGCGGGGTCTCTGGAGGTGGATTTATACCCTTCTTTTCCAGCAACGCATCCCAACGGATCCTTTGTGTCCTCCCACGAGATCTCAGCGTCCGGCATACCGATCTCATCGCCGTTGTACGTCACGCTAACGCCTGGCAATATTAGCGTAATCAAGGTTGCCACGCGTGCTCGTTGGGATCCAAGTCGCGTCATCGGTCTAGGATTATCGTGATTTCCAGCCTGCACGAACAATTTTCACCTTTCATCCCTCGAACGGAGTCAAACAGATTCGCGAATAACGAATAACGAATAATAATTTTCGATTTTTTCCGAAATTAGCTTTTGGATGGATTCCATTTCACTAATGAATTTACGAATAAAATGTAACGAAAGTTGGTTCAGGAATGAATCTAAAATACATACGTAAGTGTTCGTTCTTCGCGAATAGAATTTGGGTAACCCCCCTGAAAGGGGGTTTTTCACTGAATTTTAAGCGACAACCTTACATTTATTTGTTCATTTTTCGTGTAACGACTCGATTTGCTATATTGAAGAAGGTAAAAGTGGAATATAAATAAGAGAAACATTGAATTTTATGGAAGCAAGGTGAAAATTCTAAAATCTAAAAGTAAGAATATTTATAAGGAGAAGATGAAGCTATGGTATTGTGGGAAATGTGAAAATTGAAAGAATAGAAACCTATGGAACGCATGTAAAGCAACTGAGAGAGAGAGAGTTGAAATTGTAGATTGACGTATACAAGAAAAGGGAAGCTCGAAAATTGGACCATTTTTATGGGGTTTTACTCATTTTACAGGGTCAAGAAATAACTTTTTCAATATTGTTAGAATTTCTACATATTCTTCACTAAAATACGCGTTATTTGCATTTTTAAACTTTAAAATCCGTCAATTCATTTAGAAGTTATGATGATTTAAAGATTCGCATGAAATTTCAGGGCAACATTTCTGGCCATAAATTACACTTTCGATTAGGAATTTTTTTTCTCAAAAGTGCGTAGAAATTCGTGGATATGTGTATCCACCAAAAATGCTTGTAATTGACCCCCGTAACAAAAAATATTTTTTTCAAAATGATTTGAAATTTTTTAATTTCGTCTAAAAACTTCGGTACCTTCTCGAATTTTTTTCTCGAAATTGCGTAGAAATTCGAGGATATGTCTATTCATCAAAAATACTTATAATTGACCCCTGTAACTAAAAATAATTTTTTTAGAATGATTTGAAATTTTTTAATTTTAACCAAAAAATTTCCTAGTCTCTATGGAACTTTAAACGTTAATAACTTTTTAAAGCAGCCTCAATCAACAAATTGCTATTCTTGACTTTTGTCTCATTTTGGTCTCTAGTATCTCCCATTCAAATTTTTCCCAGGTTTGACCAAACACTATGCATATATTTGCATAAACTGTGTTAGTGGTACCAATTGTTGAAATGTTGTGATTTTAGGTGATATACCAAGCTTGAAAAACTGTAGAATCCATAAGTAAATTTACGTAATAACGATATTAGTTTGTACTTTACATAGTACTCTACTGTTAGGCACCATTTAATCCAGAGAAAACAAACTACACATTTGGATACTCATCCTCAAGAAAGTTCCTGTAAATCGTTTGCACTTACCACCCAGTTAGGATCTCCGCCACTCGGCATGTCCTCCATCCAATTATTTATCATCTTGTGGAAATCAGCTGCCGACGAATTCTTAGTCAAGTTCGCGATCATCGCGAAATTGAAGGGGAAGTGTGCTCCGGAAGTGTAATACTTCATGGTCGATGTCATATTCGTGTAAGCTTCGATCATCATGATTCTTTCGGAGTCTTTGTACTCGTCGAGGACTTCCCTCCAACTTTTGATGATGTCATAGGTTTGCGGTTGATCCTTCGTGTATATTCTGTCGGGGTAATTGATATTATAAGGGTCGTCCGTTTTCCCTGATGGGGGCTCGTCCGGGAAGTCCTCATGTTCCCAAAGATAAGCCGCTGAGTCGATCCTGAAGCCATCCACGCCCTTGTTCAGCCAGAATCTCAACACATTCTGCAAAATGTTCGTCATTTTTAAATAAATTTTCTAAATCCTCATTCAATCACCTTCAATCTAATATGACGTTTTTAACACTAGATTTACGGTAGCCGTCAATTTGACGGATGTCTCATTCCATATTTAAAATTGCAGAACACGTAAATATTATTTTTTAACAAATTCTGTTGAATTTGGTTGGTGCAATAGCACGAATATACAGGGTGTTCGGCCACCTCAAGCAAAAATTTTAATGAGCGATAGTAGAGGCCAAAATAAGACGAAAATCAAGAATACCAATTTGTTGATGGAAGCTTCGTTAAAAAGTTATTAACGTTTAAAGTGCCGTCCTTACTGAATTTTTTTCTCGAAAATGCGCAAGATTTCGGGGGTATGTCTATTCACCAAAAATGACTGTAATTGAACCCTACAGCCGAAAATAATTTTTCCACAACGATTTGCAATTTTTTAATTTTCTCGAATAATTTCACACCTTCCCTATTTTTTTTCTCGAAAGTGGGCAGGATTTCGTGGGTATGTCTAATGACAAAAACTGATTGTAATTGACCCCGGCAACCGAAAATAATTTTTCCACAACGATTTGCAATTTTTTTTCTCCGTTGAAAAATTTAGGCACCTAATTGGATTTCCAGTAAGGAATTTTTTTCTCGAAAGTGCGTACGATTTTGGAGATATGTGTAATGATAAAAAATGATTGTAATTGATCCCCGCAACCGAAAATAATTTTTTTAGAACGATTTGAAAAATTTTTTTTCGCCGAAAAATTTCATCACCTACTCGATTTTTTTTCTCGAAAGTAGATAGGATTTCGGAGGTATGTGTACTCACCAAAAATGATTGCAGTTGACCCCCGCAACCGAAAATAATTTTTCCAGAACGATTTGAAATTTTTGAATTTAATTGTTAATAACTTTTTAACGAAGCTTCCATCAACAAATTAGTATTCTTGATTTTCGTCTTATTTTGGCCTCTACTATCGCTCATTAAAATTTTTGCCCGAAATTGTGGCCGAACACCCTGTATATTCTAATTAAAAGAAAAATCGTATTGTAAGGTAATCGTCAACATGAAAGGTATCAATAAATATACGTGCGATCAATGCCCGTAAATCTAGTGTTAATATCAGATGTAAAACAGAATTTATGATGTAATAAGTGGTAATAAATATACAAATTGATTGAAAAGTTGCATTAAAGGCGTGTATACAATGTATATTCATTTTCTCATCAATTAACGTTATTAGATCTGATTTAAACACTATCAGATGAACAGATCATTGCAAATTTAAATTTCTACGCAGTTATATTGCATTTAATCTTGAGATTCATGTGTGTCAAATCCATGTTTGCAACTAAAAATTAGCTTTTACACATATGGGGTTTATTTGATATTTAAATTAATTTAAATAGTGCAACTTCATGATTATATTTCCCCATGAGACAGTGTGGCATAGTTATTATATTATTCGTGAATCTCAGGGATTAGTATCAATTTTAATTGTTGTAAATTTTAAACAAAATACGATTTATCGTTAAATGTCCTAATTAATTGCATGAAATAAACAATTTCGAAATCAAAAACATTTTTTATCCATAGAGTTTATGCATGACCAAAATCAAACTGTTATAATGAGTTTGTCATATCTTTTTTATTAAAAAGTTGCAAAAAAAACGAGGAAATTTTGCAATTTTTACTTTAAGCTTCCACCATTTTGACAATTTTCAACATACATTATCTAAAATCTCATAAATTATAAAAAATATAAGATATATATGCATATATTGCAAAATTACGTCGTTTTTTTTTGCAATTTTTATTTTAAGCTTCCACCATTTTGTCAATTTTCAACATAAATTATCTAAAATCTCATAAATTATAACAAATATATCACATCTTTTTTATTAAAAAGTTTGCAAAAAAAAAACGACGAAATTTTGCAATTTTTATTTTAAGCTTTCACCATTTTGTCAATTTTCAACATAAATTATCTAAAATCTCATAAATCTCATAAGTTGCAAAAAAAAACCACGAAATTTTGCAATTTTTATTTTAAGCTTCCACCATTTTGTCAATTTTCAACATAAATTATCTAAAATCTCATAAGTTGCAAAAAAAAACTCGGAAATTTTGCAATTTTTACTTTAAACTTTCACCATTTTGTCAATTTTCAACATAAATTATCTAAAATCTCATAAGTTGCAAAAAGAAACGACGAAATTTTGCAATTTTTATTTTAAGTTTTCACCATTTTGTCAATTTTCAACATAAATTATCTAAAATCTCATAAGTTGCAAAAAAAAAACGACGAAATTTTGCAATTTTTACTTTAAGCTCCCACCATTTTGTCAATTTTCAACATAAATTATCCAAAATCTCATAAATCTCATAAGTTGCAAAAAGAAACAAGGAAATTTTGCAATTTTTACTTTAAACTTTCACCATTTTGTCAATTTTCAACATAAATTATCTAAAATCTCATAAGTTGCAAAAAAAAACGACGAAATTTTGCAATTTTTATTTTAAGTTTTCACCATTTTGTCAATTTTCAACATAAATTATCTAAAATCTCATAAGTTGCAAACAAAAAACGACGAAATTTTGCAATTTTTACTTTAAGCTTCCACCTTTTTGTCAATTTTCAACATAAATTATCCAAAATCTCATAAATCTCATAAGTTGCAAAAAGAAACAAGGAAATTTTGTAATTTTTACTTTAAGCTTCCACCATTTTGTCAATTTTCAACATAAATTATCTAATATCTCATAAGTTGCAAAAAAAAACGACGAAATTTTGCAATTTTTACTTTAAGCTTCCACCATTTTGTCAATTTTCAACATAAATTATCTAAAATCTCATAAGTTGCAAAAAGAAACGACGAAATTTTGCAATTTTTATTTTAAGTTTTCACCATTTTGTCAATTTTCATCATAAATTATCTAAAATCTCATAAACCTCATAAGTTGCAAAAAAAAACGACAAAATTTTGCAATTTTTATTTTAAGCTTCCACCATTTTGTCAATTTTCAACATAAATTATCCAAAATCTCATAAATCTCATAAGTTGCAAAAAAAAACGAGGAAATTTTGCAATTTTTACTTTAGGCTTCCACCATTTTGTCAATTTTCAACATAAATTATCTAAAATCTCATAAATCTCATAAGTTGCAAAAAGAAACGACGAAATATTGCAATTTTTATTTTAGGCTTCCACCATTTTGTCAATTTTCATCATAAATTATCTAAAATCTCATAAGTTGCAAAAAGAAACGACGAAATTTTGCAATTTTTATTTTAAGTTTTCACCATTTTGTCAATTTTCATCATAAATTATCTAAAATCTCATAAGTTGCAAAAAAAAACGACGAAATTTTGCAATTTTTATTTTAAGCTTCCACCATTTTGTCAATTTTCAACATAAATTATCCAAAATCTCATAAATCTCATAAGTTGCAAAAAGAAACAAGGAAATTTTGCAATTTTTACTTTAAACTTTCACCATTTTGTCAATTTTCAACATAAATTATCTAAAATCTCATAAGTTGCAAAAAGAAACGACGAAATTTTGCAATTTTTATTTTAAGTTTTCACCATTTTGTCAATTTTCAACATAAATTATCTGAAATCTCATAAGTTGCAAACAAAAAACGACGAAATTTTGCAATTTTTACTTTAAGCTTCCACCATTTTGTCAATTTTCAACATAAATTATCCAAAATCTCATAAATCTCATAAGTTGCAAAAAGAAACAAGGAAATTTTGTAATTTTTACTTTAAGCTTCCACCATTTTGTCAATTTTCAACATAAATTATCTAATATCTCATAAGTTGCAAAAAAAAACGACGAAATTTTGCAATTTTTACTTTAAGCTTCCACCATTTTGTCAATTTTCAACATAAATTATCTAAAATCTCATAAGTTGCAAACAAAAAACGACGAAATTTTGCAATTTTTACTTTAAGCTTCCACCTTTTTGTCAATTTTCAACATAAATTATCTAAAATCTCATAAATCTCATAAGTTGCAAAAAAAAAACGAGGAAATTTTGCAATTTTTATTTTAAGCTTCCACCATTTTGTCAATTTTCATCATAAATTATCTAAAATCTCATAAATCTCATAAGTTGCAAAAAGAAACGACGAAATTTTGCAATTTTTACTTTAAGCTTCCACCATTTTGTCAATTTTCAACATAAATTATCCAAAATCTCATAAATCTCATAAGTTGCAAAAAGAAACAAGGAAATTTTGTAATTTTTACTTTAAGTTTTCACCATTTTGTCAATTTTCATCATAAATTATCTAAAATCTCATAAGTTGCAAAAAAAAACGACGAAATTTTGCAATTTTTATTTTAAGCTTCCACCATTTTGTCAATTTTCAACATAAATTATCCAAAATCTCATAAATCTCATAAGTTGCAAAAAGAAACAAGGAAATTTTGCAATTTTTACTTTAAACTTTCACCATTTTGTCAATTTTCAACATAAATTATCTAAAATCTCATAAATTATAAAAAATATTTTGATTTTTTTTATTTAGTCAACCTTGAAAGCTGCAATCGCCTACGTCAGTGATTAACAGTGTATAACAACACTAAAAGTTAATAAAAATTAATAAAAAAATTATCTTGTATTCCCAAGGGATAGCTAAATAAACTGCAAAAAAGAATCATAACGTCAGATGTAGCATTCCCTTAAAAAAAAATTAACAAAATAGCTCAATTTTCTATCATTCACATGAGACTCCCCTCTTAATCAATCACGTGACCAATTAGAAGGTTTATGACACGTTAATTGCTTCAATTTTTGTAATTTTGGGGCCCTGACTCTTTAGCTGTAATTAACAAGCAAATTTGAAATTAGCTATCTTCAAAAATAGTCGTATTCGCAAGCAACCGTATCGTAAACTTCGCCAAGTTTCTAACAAAAGTGACAAATGAATAAAGGAAATAACAAAAGTATCGCTATCGATGTTATCACTCCCGTTGCAATGAAATCTGTTAAGAAAACTGCAGGTAACGAGATAACGAGATCAGGTATCCCTGATTTAATCAGAATCGAGCCGGTTTAAACGATTCTATAACAGACAGCTTCATCTCCAATATAACTTGTCATCGACGGAATCCAATATGATTGTCTCCAATCGTTTAATTTCGACAGGACGAACCCACCAGCGAAATTAGGGTTTCGTTGCTAGATCGGAGGTAATTTAATTACGGGGATAATTCTGCGTGCTGAAACTCTAATCCGGGCGAAACTACTCGATGAACTTATGCGAGGAGATACGATTTTCATATTCACGTCCTTCAGAACTTGTCACTGATTGTCCAAACGTACCCAGAAATAATATGAAGATACAATTTCCATGAATACGATATTTTAAAAATTTTAATAGACTACGTAGGATAAATATTTTGTGGAAATATTCTGTGGAAATAATGTGAAGATACAACTTCCATGAATCCAATATTTAAAAAATTTTTTTTAGTAGGCTAGGATAAATATTCTCTAGAAATATTATGAAGATACAACTTCCATGAATCCAATATTTAAAAAATTTTTTTTAGTAGGCTAGGATAAATATTCTGTGGAAATAATATGAAGATAAAATTTCCATGAATGCAATATTTAAAAAATTTTAATACGTAAGGTAAATATTCTGTGGAAATATTATCATAGTAAATGCAAATTTGTTGACTCTGAAATGTGGACCTCTGATTCAAGGAAATGAGAGGCAAAAGAAATTTGAATGGAGTGCTCATATGAATCTGATGAACAGAATTACCATCAACAAAAGTAGTCAATCAGTGGGAATAGATGATGAAACATTTTCTTTAGAAAATTGCAATCGTTATCGTGACACTCATATGTAATCAGATACTTGATAGAAGATATTTGTAGAGGTAGTTTTATAAAAAATGTTTTCTAGCAGCATAAATATAACATGAAAATCGTAATTTATTGTATCGATAAAAACAGTAATGTTGAAACGCTAATTGTAAAAAGAATAATATATTTTACATGGATTGTAATTTCTAGAAAATAATTTTATAATATTGTGCTTGTTTCTTCAATTGTTATTAGTAAATTTTACGTGTTGATTGTAATTTGTTTAAATGTTTGAAGAGAAATATTCATGGTAAATTATAATCATGGCTGGAAAAATAATATTAACTTGTTTCATTATCATTAGTTTGTCGATCGATTGGACATAGTGTAATCGTAACAAAACTATTATTTAGAAATTTATATTAGTTAAAGGTATAAGTTAATCAATTTTTATGAGTGCATTCACACCTTTTTAAATATTTAATAAAATCCTTTGCAATGCATAATGTGTTGCATTTTTATAATGCAATTTTATAACTTTTATAATGATTGATTTAAAAAAAAATGAAAATTCACGTGACACATCGTTTGAAGCTAAATAAGAGGAATGATATCGTCACGTTCATATGTGTATACATGTGTCACACATCATATGTGTATTCTAGAGGCCAAAATAAGACGAAAATCAAGAATATCAATTTCTTGACTGAGGCTTCGTTAAAAAGTTATTAACAATTAAATTAAAAAATTACAAATCGTTCTGGAAAAATTATTGTCGGTTGCAGGGGTCAATTGCAATTATTTTTCGTCATTAGACGTACCCTCGAATTCCTACAGACTTTCGAGAAAAAAATTCGAGAAGGTGTGAAATTTTACGACGAAAAAAAAAATTTCGAATCATTCTGAAAAAATTATTGCCGACTGTGGGAGTTAATTACAACTATTTTTGGTCATTAGACATACCCCCGAATTCCTATCCACTTTCGAGAAAAAAATTCGAGAATGTGTGAAATTTTACGACGAAAAAACAAATTTCGAATCGTTCTAAAAAAATTATTTCCGTCTGTGAGAGGTAATTACAATTATTTTTTGTGAGTAAACATACCCCCGAATTTCTACTCATTTTCTAGAAAAAAATTCGATAAGGTATGAAATTTGTCGACAAAATTAAAAAATTTCAAATCACTCTAAAAAAAATATTTCCAGTTTAAGGGATCAATTATAATTATTTTTGGTCAATAGACATATCCTCGAATTCCTAATCATTTTTGAGAAAAAAATTCGAAAAGGTGTGAAATTTTACGACGAAAAAAAAAATTTCAAATCGTTCTAAAAAAATTATTGCCGACTACAGCAGTTAATTACAATTACTTTTGGTTAATAGACATACCCCCGAAATCCTATCCACTTTCCAGAAAAAAATTCGAGAATGTATGAAACTTTTCGACAAAATTAAAAAATTTCAAATCGTTTTGGAAAAATTATTGCCGACTACAGGAGGTAATTACAATTATTTTTGGTGAATAGACATACCCCCGAATTCCTGCGCATTTTCGAGAAAAAAATTCATTACCGGTAGAACTTTAATTGTTAATAACTTTTTAACGAAGCCTCCATAAAAAAATTCATATTCTTGATTTTCGTCGTATTTTGGCTTCTAGAATACCCCGTTAAAATTTTTCCCAGGGTTGACCGAACACTCTGTACATAAAAAAAGGCCAAGCAAGAAATCTCATACTATCTTTATAAAAAAATACCAAAAAAACCAAAAAAAACCTCAAAATAGCGAATTAATTAAAGCAATTTTATATTTGAATTTGACACTAAATTTGTTCTTCTCTATGTGACCTAGTTCGATATTTTATTAAGCAAACTAAGAGTTCCAACATCTAGCTAAAATTGCTATTACTAAATTATTTTATAAACCTTCCATATTTATCAATCTCATAGTAACAATTGTCAATTTCAACTTGACACTATCCAAACATATTTTTCCCCACCATGGGACCTCATTTAATATCTTTTTGTTAAGCAGACTAAGAGTTTCACCATCTAGCTAAAATTGCTATTACTAAATTATTTTATAAACCCTCCCTATTTATCAATCTCATAGTAACAATTGTCAATTTCAATTTGACACTATCCAAACATATTTTTCCCCGCCATGGGACCTCATTTAATATCTTTTTATTAAGCAGACTAAGAGTTTCAACATCTAGCTAAAATTGCTATTACTAAATTATTTTATAAACCTTCCATATTTATCAATCTTACAATAAAAATTGTCAATATCAATTCGACACTATCCAAACTAATTTTCCCCCACCATGAAACCCCATTTAATATTTCATTTAGCCTACTATCGACCTGGTACAAGACTCAATCGATGAGCAATAGAGGCACAACAACAAAACAATGCTTAACAATAAAAATAATCGTTGTATCTCACGATGAACCGACATTTTAGCTAAAGATTGACGAAAGTGTCAAGTAGAATGGTGTGTAAAATATAGTTTATGAAATTTAAATTACTTCTGTTTCCTTTAAGATCACGGAATATAATATTAAAATAAAATTACGTCTGTTTACTTTACTTTTTAGTAAACAGAATTCAATTTGAGTTATAATTACGATTGTAAACAGTACCTTCATTTCTTCTGCAACCTTTGGGTTTCTGTAATTTAGATCTGGCTCTTCCGGCATGAATTGGTGAAGATAGAACGCCTGACGTTCTTCTCGCCATTTCCAAGCATGCCCTCCAAGCGCGCTCACCTGCGTGGAAAGAATTCAAAAATTAGAAAAATTAAACAATTATAAAAATAAGAAAAATGCATTTGGAATAGTAAAAGACCACAAAAATTATTGGTAGAAGTTACTCGAAATATAAAATTATATTGAAACAGTGTTGATTGTTTTTGGAAAAATACATTTGCTTTTAATAAAATGTCAAGTCAGGGTTTACTAAACTCTGTTCAATAAATGATACTACATTGAAAAACTAAAAAATTTATGCTCTGTATATAGAAGAAAAATAACATATGCAAGCTTAGAATAAAATGTTGGAGAATTTAGGCTAAATATACATCACTATGATTGCCTGTATAGTAAATGCGTGGAAAGTACTGGATAATAGAAACAACATATCCAAATGTTAGCATTAATCATAAATTTCAGACGTTTGACATTCATAGAGCCCAATAATTTACTCCTCTAAAATTTAGTAACTCAACTTTGCTTTAATAATAATTTTTTATGGTTAATAATACGTTTTTTCACGTTATCCAAGTGTAAAAAGTGTCCAATTTGTCGGATTTCGATCGCTTTAAGACGCAACTTGCCGCACTCGCCACCAGAGGGCTACGCTCTCTCGCAAGTACTCGACTTTTGGAACCAGAGAGACGAGTTTACGCTTGCATGTATACTTTGTACCATAATCCAAGTAAAAATCGTAGTATTTGCAAACAAAATATTATTTAACTTCTCTAACTAGAGACTATTCACTTCATAAAATGAAAAATTACAAATCGAACTGTTATATTTCTACAATTGAAACTTGACGTTAATGAAAAATATTCTCTATACTAATTTTCTTTGAAATTATTCCATGTATATTCTTCGAGGGTCGTATTTTAAGGAAAAAGAATTCATAGAATTTTACATAGAATTTAACACTTTAAAAAAATTAATTCTCAATTTAAGACGCTGGAAAAAAATAAATTTGGATAGAATTTATGAATTTTAACAAGCTTACAAAAATAAATACTGAAACAAATGTTATGTAGCTTACGATGGTCTGAAATCAAAATTTTACTTTTGCAGAAATACGATTTTGGTCTGTCAGTGAACGTCTTAACACATTACCGACCGATAGCCTATTAATCGACTTTTTTACCGACCAACACTTACCGACCGATAGCGTATTAATCAACTTCTTTACCGACCAACGCTTACCGACCGATAGCCGATTAATCAACCGCTACCGGTCGGTAAAGCGTTAAAAAACATTCACAACAGATTATGCAGCCCTCAAAAAACTATTTAATTTTGGTCGCAAATATTTCCACAAATCACGAACCCTTTTCAAATCGATTTAGTATGAAATTCAAATGAAACTCACCCAGTTATTCGGTGGAGCAATAGTGCCGTTTGAAAGCTTCTTGCCGCTGCGCCAGACAAAGAAATCATTGTAGGGTGGAATGTTTTGCAAACTCTTCTGGAACCATTCGTGCTTGTCCGAGGAGTGATTGGGGACAAGATCTATGATCACCTTCAAGTTAAGTTCGTGAGAGCGTTTCACCATATTCTCGAAATCGGTCATTGTACCGAAAACGGGATCCACTCCGTTGAAATCGGCGATGTCATAACCGAAATCGATCATCGGGCTGGGGTAAAAAGGGGACAACCAGAAAGCGTTGACGCCAATCTCTTTGAAGTAAAGCAATTTGTTGGTTATACCTGCAATCAAAAAAACACCGATTGTGGATCGAACTTTGTGGTTAAGTATTATCGATGAAATCCTTAAATATCTATGATTTTACATCAGTTAGACATTACAGTGCATCAAATGTAGCAAAATGAGTAATGTCAAACTCAAATTGTAAACTTAATGGAGGATTTCTAGGAGAACATTGTGGGTAAATTGAATTTACAAGTTTTCTTTGAATTCCTTATTCGACGATTATCCTCAATTTTTAGACTCCTTTACCATCTGCATGATTCTTTATTCATGTGCATTTTTAACACACTATATTATTCTCAGGATTCTCAGGATTTCTGGAGAATATTGTGGGTAAATTGAATTTACAAGTTTTCTTTGAATTCCTTATTCGACGATTATCCTCAATTTTTAGACTCTTCTACCATCTGCATGATTCTTTATTTATGTGCATTTTTAACACACTATATTATTCTCAGGATTCTCAGGATTTCTGGAGAATATTGTGGGTAAATTGAATTTACAAGTTTTCTTTGAATTCCTTATTCGACGATTATCCTCAATTTTTAGACTCTTTTATCATCTGCATGATTCTTTATTTATGTGCATTTTTAACACACTATATTATTCTCAGGATTCTCAGGATTTCTGGAGAATATTGTGGGTAAATTGAATTTACAAGTTTTCTTTGAATTCCTTAATCGACGATTATCCTCAATTTTTAGACTCTTTTACCATCTGCATGATTCTTTATTTATGTGCATTTTTAACACACTATATTATTCTCAGGATTCTCAGGATTTCTGGAGAATATGTCTGGAGAAGTGGTTTGAAAGAGAACACCTTACGTACCTTTCAAATCTCCTACGCCATCTCCATTACCATCTTTAAAGCTTCTAGGATATATTTGGTAAAGTGACATCGACCGCCACCAACCCTTGTTTTTCGGGCCATCTTCAACGGCCACAGACACTGCTACCATACATAGCAGTATTAGGGCCCTCATGCTTCCTAAACACACCAAACAGAGCATCCAATATGTAATTAAAATAATTAAAACAATCATCAAAGCATAAACTTATGGCATCAAATAATATTTTCAAATAATTCACTTCGATTCCCATATAGGAGCAATTTACAGAAAATAATTCCTACTCATGCTTTCTAAACACACCTAACAGAGCATCAAATATGTGATTAAAATAATGAATCATCAAAGCACAAACTTATTGCATCAAATAATATTTTCAAATAATTCACTTCGATTCCCATCTACGAGCAATTTACTGAAAATAATTCCTACCAATACTAGGTAGAGTACTTAGATAGATACCTAATTTAGAGATATTTAGATAGGGTACCTAATTTATGTGGAATAAACGAATAAAAAATATCGATAATCCTTTTCTTTCGAAATGTGGTGTTTCTAATGTCTAATTTAGAGATACTTAGGTAGAGTACCTAATTTATTTGGATTTCTAATGTCTAATTTAGATATACTTAGGTAGAGTACCTGATTTATTTGGATTTCTAATGTCTAATATAGAGATACTTAGGCAGAGTACCTAATTTATTTGGAATAAACGAATGTAAAGTATCAACAATCCTTTTTTTTCGAAAGGTATGGTGTTTCTAATGTCTAATTTAGAGATACTTAGATACAGTACCTAATTTATGTAAAATAAACGAATGTAAAGTATCAACAATCCTTTTTTTATCGAAATGTGGTGTTTCTAATGTCTAATTTAGAGATACTTAGGTAGAGTACCTAATTTATTTGGATTTCTAATGTCTAATTTAGAGATACTTAGGTAGAGTACCTAATTTATTTGGATTTCTAATGTCTAATTTAGAGATACTTAGGTAGAGTGCCTAATTTATTTGAAATAAACGAATAAAAAGTATCAACAATCCTTTTTTTTCGAAAGGTATGGTGTTTCTAATGTCTAATTTAGAAATACTTAGGTAGAGTACCTAATTTATTTGAAATAAACGAATAAAAAGTATCGACAATCCTTTTCTTTCGAAAGATGGTATTTGTAATGTCTAATTTAGAGATACTTAGGTAGAGTACCTAATTTATTTGGATTTCTAATGTCTAATTTAGATATACTTAGGTAGAGTACCTGATTTATTTGGATTTCTAATGTCTAATATAGAGATACTTAGATAGAGTACCTAATTTATTTGAAATAAACGAATGTAAAGTATCAACAATCCTTTTTTTTCGAAAGGTATGGTGTTTCTAATGTCTAATTTAGAGATACTTAGATACAGTACCTAATTTATGTAAAATAAACGAATGTAAAGTATCAACAATCCTTTTTTTATCGAAATGTGGTGTTTCTAATGTCTAATTTAGAGATACTTAGGTAGAGTACCTAATTTATTTGGATTTCTAATGTCTAATTTAGAGATACTTAGGTAGAGTACCTAATTTATTTGGATTTCTAATGTCTAATTTAGAGATACTTAGGTAGAGTGCCTAATTTATTTGAAATAAACGAATAAAAAGTATCAACAATCCTTTTTTTTCGAAAGGTATGGTGTTTCTAATGTCTAATTTAGAAATACTTAGGTAGAGTACCTAATTTATTTGAAATAAACGAATAAAAAGTATCGACAATCCTTTTCTTTCGAAAGATGGTATTTGTAATGTCTAATTTAGAGATACTTAGGTAGAGTACCTAATTTATTTGGATTTCTAATGTCTAATTTAGAGATACTTAGGTAGAATACCTAATTTATGTGGAATAAACGAATAAAAAGTATCAAATATCCTTTTTTTTCGAAATGTGGTTACTAACTAACTGACAAACTAACTAACTAACTGACAAACCATCTAACTAACTGTAAACCAAATAACTAACTGAGAAACTAACTAACTAAGTGACCTACTAACTAACTAACTGACTGCAAACTGACTATCTAACTGACAAACTGACTATCTAACTGACAAACTAACTAACTAACTGACAAACTATCTAATTAACTGAGAAACTAACTAACTAAGTGACCTACTAACTAACTAACTGCAAGCTACCTAACTAACTGACTGCAAGCTACCTAACTAACTGACAAACCAAGTAACTTCCTGACAAACTAACTAACTAACTAACTGACAAACTGACTATCTAACTGACAAACTAACTAACTAACTGTAAACCAACTAATTAACTGAGAAACTAACTAACTAAGTGACCTACTAACTAACTAACTGCAAGCTACCTAACTAACTAACTTCAAGCTACCTAACTAACTGACAAACCAAGTAACTTCCTGACAAACTAACTAACTAACTAACTGACAAACTGACTATCTAACTGACAAACTAACTAACTAACTGTAAACCAACTAATTAACTGAGAAACTAACTAACTAAGTGACCTACTAACTAATTAACTGCAAGCTACCTAACTAACTGACTGCAAGCTACCTAACTAACTGACAAACCAAGTAACTTCCTGACAAACTAACTAACTGACAAAATAACTAACTAATAAACTAACTAACTGACAAACTATCTAACTAACTGAGAAACTAACTAACTAAGTGACCTGCTAACTAACTAACTGCAAGCTACCTAACTAACTCACAAACCAACTAACTTCCTGACAAACTAACTGACAAAATAACTAACTAACAAACTAACTAACTGACAAACTAACTAACTAACTGACAAACTGACTATCTAACTGACAAACTAATTAACTAGCTGACAAACTAACTGAAGGAGGTTTGCTCGTCCCACCGCAGCGCCATCTTAGTATGCGCCATGTAGTCGTGCCCAGGTGTATGCCTATTTCAGTTTGTTCTTTTTATGCTTATTACTTCGTTTTAGGCATTCGCGGCCATAGTGATTACTACTAGAATTGGCTTCCGGTTTGGAGCCGCGTTCAGAAGACGAGAGAGTCCGACGTTTCGCCAGCATTGCAGCTAGCTTCATCAGGGAATCAAATAATCTCTGATACTGATGCTTATTACTTATTATATATATCTGCATTATGTGTAATAACTAAATATATTGAGTTATGCGTGTAAGTGGAGTTATTCAAAACCCCAACAAAGGGTTATGGGCCCAGCACTAACTAACTGACAAACTATCCAACTAACTGCAAACTAATAAGTTTCTAATGTCACTTTTAATCCTGATTCTACAAAGTCTTACTCGATCTTACTGAAAATTGAGGTGTAATTAATATGTAATTGACTACTTGAACGATGTGTATATTAAAAATACCTTTTTTATGGAGTATTCTTGATTGATTTCGAATCACTATGAAGATAGGGGAACGACGAACGTTCCACTGTTAGAGATGAACAGCGCCAGGATGCTTTTAAAGACCTGGACGTAGCCGCTAATGACAATGACGAACAGCTCAATTACGTAACAATAATGCAATTAGTACGGCAAATGCAGCATTACTATTATGAATGTCAGGTGGCTGCGGCGTTGTCGATAAGAACCATTTTCTAGATCATCAATAGGGCGTTTAGAATTGGCGTCGAAGTTCACGATCTTCCGCGTGCATCGGGAGAAACATGTGTAGGTCATTAATACGTATACAGGTAATTGTTAGGTCATTTATCAGACATTTCTACGATATATTGCTAATAAATGACCTTACATTAATTTTTTAGCGAACTCAAAATTCTGAGTGATGGTTTAGATAATTTTAATTATTTTCTAACCTCAAGATTTCATTTTATTTTTGTTTCCTTTATTTTCAGTAATTAGAATATTATTTTTGAGTTTTATATTTTCGAATAATTAAACTTTAATCAATCCAATTAATAACCTCAAGATTTCATTTAATTTTTGTTTCCTTTATTTTCAATAATTACAATATTATTTTTGAGTTTCACATTTTCGAATAATTAAACTTTAATCAATCCAAATAGATTTGATAAATATATTCGTTTTCCAACGAACTCAAAATGCTGGATAGTAGTTCAGATAATTTTAATTATTTTCTAACCTCAAGATTTCATTTTATTTTTGTTTCCTTTATTTTCAATAATTAGAATATTATTTTTGAGCTTCACATTTTCGAATAATTAAACTTTAATCAATCGAAATAGATTTTATAAATATATTCGTTATTTGCAAAATTTATATAAATTGTTTTTAATTGTATCTTGGAAAAAATTAAATTTTAGATAAAGAAATCATGATAAGAATGTACATGATCAATAAGAAACAATAAGAACTGAAATTTTCAATGAAATTTTATTATAAGCGTTGTTTCACACATAAATTATTATAGAAATAATTTTATTTGGATAGTAGTTTAGTTAATTTTAATTATTTTCTAACCTCAAGATTTCATTTAATTTTTTATTCCTCTGATATTCTTTATTTTCAATAATTAAAATATTATTTTTGAGTTTTATATTTTCGAATAATTAAACCTTAATTCATCCAATTAAATAATTTTATTTGGATAGTAGTTTAGATAATTTTAATTATTTTCTAACCTCAAAATTCGATTTAATTTCTGCTTCCTCTGGTATTCTTTATATTCAATAATTACAATATTATTTTTGAGCTTTACATTTTCGAATAATTAAACTTTAATCAATCCAAATAGATTTTATAAATATATTCGTTATTTGCAAAATTTATATGAAATGTTTTTAATTGTATCTTGGAAAAAATTAAATTTTAAATAAAGAAATCATGATAAGAATTAGATTTTATAAATATATTCGTTATTTGCAAAAATTATATATATTATTTTTAATTGTATCTTGGAAAAAATTAAATTTTAGATAAAGAAATCATGATACTAATATATGATCAATAAGAAACACTAAGAACTGAAATTTTCAATTATAAATGAAATTTTATTATAAGCGTTGTTTCACACATAAATTATTACTATTATAAATAATTATTATTTTCAAATAAAATAGTATTATTGAAGTCTCCCTTAATTTCCATTGTTTCTTTAAGACTTAGCAGCCATTTTCTCAAAGTAAACTCTTGGTGGAGCAGAATGAGGAGGCAGTTGATTAAATGCTGCCATTTTTGTAAGGCCTTATGGATTTCTTCTTCCTGATGCGCAAGAGGTCACGCTGCTTTTAAAAAGTACAATTCTACATCAGGGAAACCTTCAATATTTTCACGATTGTTTGGCCTCGTTCGAAGTCTCAATTCCATCGTGCAATTCATCAACGAATGCATTATCGTCGATTGTACATATTATGTAATTTAAAAACAATATGTTAATGGTACTAGAAAAAGATGAGAAGAGTTTTATGTGTAATGCTCTGAAAAAATCAAATCTGTTTTTCCTGCATTTTCTTGTAGCTGAGGGGTGGAAAATATCCGTCAATTTTCTCTGGAAAATAGACCAGTTGTATTTGAAATGCTCAATTTTGAAACAATTTTCAATCGAAATTACTGGAATTGATTTGTTGAAGAATCAATTTGGTTCAAACGTTATTAATAATTTTAAAAATAGCAAATCTTGCTTATAATACTTTGCTTTATAAAATCAATGTTCTGCCAGGTTCTTTGAGAAAAATGTACAAGCTCCAAAAATAACGAAAATTCTATTTAATTAATAAAAATCGCAATTTTAAAAAAATAATATTTTATTGCAAGCAGAAGAAGGAAATTTGTTCGAAATCCGAAAAGAGCAAAAGAAAAATGAAAAGTACACTTAATGGGAAACTGAACAAACCCAAAATCGATCGTTGATTGAAAGAAATTGGTGCCAGAATCAAAAATTTAAGAATTTATGGAATTTTTATTGATCTTAAAATGTTGGATTTTATCAAATTACACATTTTTAGCTCTTTTTCTCCATCTATTCTGATTAGTAACTATTTGTATCGATAAATTAAATCACTTCTGCATTTACATCGATTTTATTGATCTTAAAATGTTGGATTTTATCAAATCTTTGCATTTTGAGCTCTTTTTCTCCATCTATTCTGATTAGTAACTATTTGTATCGATAAATTAAATCACTTCTGCATTTACATCGATTTTATTGATCTTAAAATGTTGGATTTTATCAAATCTTTGCATTTTGAGCTCTTTTTCTCCATCTATTCTGATTAGTAACAGTTTGTATCGATAAATTAAATTACTTCTGCATTTACGAATAACATTTATCATTTACTGTGTAATCATTTACTGTAAAATTTATTCTATAAATACATGCCACGTATGAGTTTGAATCACAAATATAGTAATTGCAGAAGGAAGTGACTCTGTCTTTTAGCAATGATTATAATTACAATGGCGCAGTTCTCACCAATTTCAGCGGCCTTGATGCACGATGGTGGGGGAAATTCACTGAATGTTCTGGAGTGAATTACTTACAATTAGTGATCAAAATAAACGTGACACTTGTAAGTAATTATACAGGGTGTTCGGCCACCTATAGTAAAAATTTTAATGAGCGATAGTAGAGGCCAAAGTAAGTCGAAAATCAAGAATACCAATTTGTTGATGGAAGCTTCGTTAAAAAGTTATTAACAATTAAATTCAAAAATTTCAAATCGTTCTGGAAAAATTATTTTCGTTTGCGGGGGTCAACTACAATCATTTTTGGCGAGTACACATACCTCCGAAATCCTATCTACTTTCGAGAAAAAAAATCGAGTAGGTGTTGAAATTTTTCGGCGAAAAAAAATTTTTCAAATCGTTTTAAAAAAATTATTTTCGGTTGCGGGGATCAATTACAATCATTTTTTATCATTACACATACCTCCGAAATCGTACGCACTTTCGAGAAAAAAATTCCTTACTGAAAATCCAATCAGGTGCCTAAATTTTTCAACGGAGAAAAAAAATTGCAAATCGTTGTGGAAAAATTATTTTCGGTTGCGGGGGTCAATTACAATCGGTTTTTGTCATTAGACATACCCACGAAATCCTGCCCACTTTCGAGAAAAAAAATAGAGAATGTGTGAAATTATTCGAGAAAATTAAAAAATTGCAAATCGTTGTGGAAAAATTATTTTCGGTTGTAGGGTTCAATTACAGTCATTTTTGGTGAATAGACATACGCCCGAAATCTTGCGCATTTTCGAGAAAAAAATTCAGTAAGGGCGGCACTTTAAACGTTAATAACTTTTTAACGAAGCTTCCACCAACAAATTGGTATTCTTGATTTTCGTCTTATTTTGGCCTCTACTATCGCTCATTAAAATTTTTGCTAGAGGTGGCCGAACACCCTGTATACATTTCCGGCGTCATCGTCGATTTTTACGACCGTGAAACTTGTATTGGAGGGAGTAAATGAATATTAATTTGTAAAACACACTTATTAATAAATAATCCAAGTTGCAATGTATACAGACACTGTCATAGGTGTAAACGAAAAAGAAAATAAGAGATAATTGTAACTCATTTAAAATTAAAAATTGTCTATTTATCGTGATTCTCTTGAAAAATGGAATAAGACCAACTTGGATATTAATTTGTAAAATACACTTATTAATAAATAATCGAAGTTGTAATGTATACTATAAAATTATTTGTACCAAATAAATATTGCAAATTACAAGAATATCGATATAAATTTTTTTGATCATTGAGAAACCAAATAATATATTCTTCTGAAGATTTTGCATTGCCATAGGTGCAAACGAAAAAGAAAATGAGAGATATTGTAACTCATTTGAAATTAAAAATTGTCCATTACCAAAATAAATAGCTAGTATCAGTGCAAATAAATTATTTGTACCAAATAAATATTGCAAATTACAGAATATCGATATAAATTTTTTGTGATCATTGAGAAACTAAATAATATATTCTTCTGAAGATTTTGCATTGTCAAAGACAGCTAATTTTTTCATTTCTGAAAATTGTAATAAATTTCATATATAATTTATTAAATTTTAAATATTCATTGCCTCAAAGATACATCATATTTCCAATGAGACAGCTAAAATTTGACCAAAATTTAGCAACTCATATCAAACTTTATTAAAATTGTAATTAAATATAACCATTTTTAAAGGATATTTTGCAAGCCTTGTCTAACAATATCTTCAACGTCGTATAATTATTAATAATCAAAAGGCTGGTTATCTTGCAAACGCGTATGCAAATTATACGTGCACTAAATAAATTACTAGACGTTGCCTGGGATATGAAAACTACAATTTGTATTCATACCATCATACCTAATTAGCGTAGATAGCTGTGTGCTTCGCATTGTTCGTTCCAAGTGTATTTCCTTCAAAAAAAATTAATGAAAGTATCTCGAATGGTGGATTCAACTTGAATTAAACGTACATACGTGTGTTATGTGTATTATTTTCAGATTCCATAATAAAGAAACTTATTATTAGACTGCGGATCTTTATGCAAATTCATATTTTTATTAATAGAATTAATGAGCAGCTTCGTATATGATTGTCTCAACCCTTAAATATAATAATTCGTATCTTACTTTAAGTGTTTCTTATATTTTTGCATATTAAGTGCATTCTGTAGTTTCTTGAGAATTAAAATTCCCCATAAATGCATAAACATCCGCAGTCTACTTATTATACTTACGTGTAAATGATAGCTCTGGCCAAAAATCATACAAAGTTGTCAGTGTGAGAAACTTTCCAAATGGAAATTCAACACTTTACCGACCGATAGCCTATTAATCGACTGTTTTACCGGCCAACGCTTACCGACCGATAGCCTATTAATCAACTGTTTTATCGGTCGACGTTTACCGACCGATAGCCGATTAATCAACCGCTACCGGTCGGTAAAGTGTTAATCTAACATAAAGTATGCTACTGAATGACATCAAAATGAAAAAAAATGGCTAAAATTTTAACCCTGTAATTTATTTTCTTTTTATAGCAAAGTGAACTTTTGAAAAAATCACTTTGCTTGAAAGGCATTTAATTATGGTTTTACTTAGGTATCATGAGACAAAATTACCTCGTCAGTTTTCATAAATTTATATTCGCGATATGAAATGAATTCATTCGTACGAATCGGTATCGAACAATACAATATGAAAATTGAACAATGGTATTAAAAAACGCGCGATGGCGTCATTAATTTTGTCGAGTACAGCTCTATTTTCGTGGAAATCCAATAAACCGAAAACCATCTCTCTTTTCATATTTTCGTGGCAGAGATCTCGCTGGAATCTGCGAAATCGAGCCAGTGTGGTCTTCCGGTTAAAGCCAGGCTTAACTGTACGGCTTACGGGGTCGAGTTAAAATTGAACGAGATTAATCGGAGGTTTAATGTAACACCTTTCGAGATGCAGATCCCTTGCTCAATGGGACACACGAATTCTGCGATTACAAACAGAACAGTTAGTTGATCTACATATAATATGAAATACTAACCCTTTGAAAATTGTCATTTCAGAGCGCAAACATTAAAAGAATGCAGAAAATCAAGAATATCAATTTCTTCGTTAAAAAGTTATTAAAAAATGAAACTACAAAATTTCAAATCGTTCTGAAAAAATTATTCTCGGTAGTGGGAGTCGATTACAATCATTTTTGATGAATAGACATACCCCCGAAATCCTACGCAATTTCGAGAAAAAAATTATTTAACGAAAATATAATGTCTGACCATGAATGAATGATTCCCCTTAAATTTCATGTCATAAATCGTTCTGAAAAAATTATTTTCTGTTGCAGGGGTTAATTATAATTATTTTTGGTGAATAGACTTAACCCCGAATTCCTAAGCACTTTCGAGAAAAAAATTTTGAATGGTAGACTTTTTCGGCTAGATTGAATAATTTCAAATCATTTTAGAAAAATTATTTTTGTTTGCAGGGGTCGATTGCAATCATTTTTGGTGAATAGACATAACCCCGAATTCCTATGCACTTTCGAGAAAAAAATTTAGTAAGGTAGACTTTTTTGGGTAAATTAAAAAATTTCAAATCGTTCTAAAAAAATTATTTGTAGTTACAGGGGTCGATTGCAATCATTTTTGGTGAATTGACATACCCCCGAATTCCTAGCCATTTTTGAGAAAAATATTCTTCAGTAAGTGGGCAAAGTTGACAAAATTGAAAACTTTCAAATAATTTTAGAAAAATTATTTTTGATTGCAGGGGTCAATTACAACCATTTTTAATGAATAGTCATACCTCCGAATTCCTAGCCATTTTCGAGAGAAAAATTCAGCAAGTGGGCAAATTTGTTGACAAAATTGAAAACCTTCGAATCGTTTTAGAAAAATCATTCACTGGGTATTAATAAAGAATTAACATCGTTTGTGAAGAAATATTATTTATCGAAATTATGAATGGTATAAATATATAAGCATCAATTCTGAATGAAGTGGATCATTGCAATAGAAAAATGTAATATCACACGTCAGAAATTATTTTTTACAGTTATTTGTTCTTACAGCTGTTATACGCGTGTTTGAAAAGACACTTATAAAGAGGATACTTATAAATATAGTAGTATATGAGTAGTATGAAAAATGCATGTGTGGAATAGGAGCAAGTCATGAGTAATTGTGAAGTATGGTCTCATGTGTTACGAGCTTTCTCGTCCTATTCAATTTAAAAATCATGTTTACGAATGCACGATGGATTCACAGTAATTGAATTAAATTAGGACAATTAAACATTTGCTAATTTTTTGGTCCATTCGTCACGAACGATATTAACTTTGCCAAAAGTGTAAGATATGACAGAATGGGATTCAGATACTATCGTTTCGTCCTTGCGTCCGTCGCAGCTCGAGCCCTTATTGCTGAGGTAAATTGCTATTCCTGATGAAGGGAGTTTTATCTTTTTATACATCGCCAGAGTCCTATATAAACAAACAAACAAATTATATCGAGCATTCAACCGAAGAGTATCATATAAGTTCAAAAATTCAAGAAATTTAGCTCGAAGTTACATTTTAGAATTGTTGAGAAGCAATTTTCAGCAATTTTATAGACAAACAAACAAATTATATCAAGCATCAACCGAAGTGTATCATATAAGTTGAAAAATTCAGGAAATTTAGCTCGAAGTTACATTTTAGAATTGTTGAGAAGCAATTTTTAGCAATTTTATAGACAATCAAACAAATTATATCAAGCATTCAACCGAAGCGTGTCATATAAGTTGAAAAATTCAAGAAATTTAGCTCGAAGTTACATTTTAGAATTGTTGAGAAGCAATTTTCAGCAATTTTATAGACAAACAAACAAATTATATCAAGCATCAACCGAAGTGTATCATATAAGTTTAAAAATTCAAGAAATTTAGCTCGAAGTTACATTTTAGAATTGTTGAGAAGCAATTTTTAGCAATTTTATAGACAAACAAACAAATTATATCAAGCATCAACCGAAGAGTATCATATAAGTTCAAAAATTCAAGAAATTTAGCTCGAAGTTACATTTTAGAATTGTTGAGAAGCAATTTTTAGCAATTTTATATACAAACAAACAAATTATATCAAGCATCAACCGAAGTGTATCATATAAATTCAAAAATTCAAGAAATTTAGCTCGAAGTTACATTTTAGAATTGTTGAGAAGCAATTTTTAGCAATTTTATAGACAAACAAACAAATTGTATCAAGCATTCAACCGAAGAGTATCATATAAGTTCAAAAATTCATGAAATTTAGCTCGAAGTTACATTTTAGAATTGTTGAGAAGCAATTTTCAGCAATTTTATAGACAAACAAACAAATTATATCAAGCATCAACCGAAGAGTATCATATAAGTTCAAAAATTCAAGAAATTTAGCTCGAAGTTACATTTTAGAATTGTTGAGAAGCAATTTTTAGCAATTTTATAGACAATCAAACAAATTATATCAAGCATTCAACCAAAGTGTATCATATAAGTTCAAAAATTCATGAAATTTAGCTCGAAGTTACATTTTAGAATTGTTGAGAAGCAATTTTCAGCAATTTTATAGACAAACAAACAAATTATATCAAGCATTCAACCAAAGTGTATCATATAAGTTCAAAAATTCATGAAATTTAGCTCGAAGTTACATTTTAGAATTGTTGAGAAGCAATTTTCAGCAATTTTATAGACAAACAAACAAATTATATCAAGCATTCAACCGAAGCGTGTCATATAAGTTGAAAAATTCAAGAAATTTAGCTCGAAGTTACATTTTAGAATTGTTGAGAAGCAATTTTCAGCAATTTTATAGACAAACAAACAAATTATATCAAGCATTCAACCGAAGCGTGTCATATAAGTTGAAAAATTCAAGAAATTTAGCTCGAAGTTACATTTTAGAATTGTTGAGAAGCAATTTTCAGCAATTTTATAGACAAACAAACAAATTATATCAAGCATCAACCGAAGTGTATCATATAAGTTGAAAAATTCAGGAAATTTAGCTCGAAGTTACATTTTAGAATGGTTGAGAAGCAATTTTCAGCAATTTTATAGACAAACAAACAAATTATATCAAGCATCAACCGAAGTGTATCATATAAGTTCAAAAATTCAAGAAATTTAGTTCGTAGTTACATTTTAGAATTGTTGAGAAGCAATTTTCAGCAATTTTATAGACAAACAAACAAATTATATCAAGCATCAACCGAAGTGTATCATATAAATTCAAAAATTCAAGAAATTTAGCTCGAAGTTACATTTTAGAATTGTTGAGAAGCAATTTTTAGCAATTTTATAGACAAACAAACAAATTATATCAAGCATTCAACCGAAGTGTATCATATAAGTTGAAAAATTCAGGAAATTTAGCTCGAAGTTACATTTTAGAATTGTTGAGAAGGAATGTTTAGCAATATTATAGACAAACAAACAAATTGTATCAAGCATTCAACCGAAGTGTGTCATATAAGTTAAAAAATTCAAGGAATTTAGCTCGAAGTTACATTTTAGAATTGTTGAGAAGCAATTTTCAGCAATTTTATAGACAAACAAACAAATTATATCAAGCATCAACCGAAGTGTATCATATAAGTTTAAAAATTCAAGAAATTTAGCTCGAAGTTACATTTTAGAATTGTTGAGAAGCAATTTTTAGCAATTTTATAGACAAACAAACAAATTATATCAAGCATCAACCGAAGAGTATCATATAAGTTCAAAAATTCAAGAAATTTAGCTCGAAGTTACATTTTAGAATTGTTGAGAAGCAATTTTTAGCAATTTTATATACAAACAAACAAATTATATCAAGCATCAACCGAAGTGTATCATATAAATTCAAAAATTCAAGAAATTTAGCTCGAAGTTACATTTTAGAATTGTTGAGAAGCAATTTTCAGCAATTTTATAGACAAACAAACAAATTGTATCAAGCATTCAACCGAAGAGTATCATATAAGTTCAAAAATTCATGAAATTTAGCTCGAAGTTACATTTTAGAATTGTTGAGAAGCAATTTTCAGCAATTTTATAGACAAACAAACAAATTATATCAAGCATCAACCGAAGAGTATCATATAAGTTCAAAAATTCAAGAAATTTAGCTCGAAGTTACATTTTAGAATTGTTGAGAAGCAATTTTTAGCAATTTTATATACAAACAAACAAATTATATCAAGCATCAACCGAAGTGTATCATATAAATTCAAAAATTCAAGAAATTTAGCTCGAAGTTACATTTTAGAATTGTTGAGAAGCAATTTTCAGCAATTTTATAGACAAACAAACAAATTATATCAAGCATTCAACCGAAGCGTGTCATATAAGTTGAAAAATTCAAGAAATTTAGCTCGAAGTTACATTTTAGAATTGTTGAGAAGCAATTTTTAGCAATTTTATAGACAAACAAACAAATTATATCAAGCATTCAACCGAAGCGTGTCATATAAGTTGAAACATCAAGAAATTTAGCTCGAAGTTACATTTTAGAATTGTTGAGAAGCAATTTTTAGCAATTTTATAGACAAACAAACAAATTATATCAAGCATTCAACCGAAGTGTATCATATAAGTTGAAAAATTCAGGAAATTTAGCTCGAAGTTACATTTTAGAATTGTTGAGAAGCAATTTTTAGCAATTTTATAGACAAACAAACAAATTATATCAAGCATTCAACCAAAGTGTATCATATAAATTCAAAAATTCATGAAATTTAGCTCGAAGTTACATTTTAGAATTGTTGAGAAGCAATTTTCAGCAATTTTATAGACAAACAAACAAATTATACCAATAAAAAGCAATTTTTAGCAATCGAAATTTTCCCAACCACTGATACAACTGATACAACTCGTATTTCTTTAAAAAAAAATCGAAAAAAGGGTTCAAGATTATAATACTCGTAAAAATAGGCAATGATAGACAATATAGGTTGCTGATTAACCCCTTAACGCTCATATTTTTCGTATTAATGATCATGTCTCTTTATTGGATTTGTTCCTAAGCTACATTAAAATACAAAATAATGTTATATCTAACCTATAATTTGACTTAAACCGTTAGATTAAACAAATATCGTTTCTCAAAGCAGACAGACTCGAGCATGAACGTTAAGGGGTTAAATCTCAACGCAGATAATCAGACAAAAACAAATGGTTATTTCAAATTGTACAATTTCTGTGAGTTTCAATCTCATTTCGACATAAAGTTAAGACTTAATAAAGTTGAATAACCTCGAAAGTGAGGCCAAAATAAACAAAATACCCTAAAAAACTGGCCTCTGTAGGTAAATATGTAAATTTTCTGTGCTACGTCGAGATTGATTGCTTTTTACCTATTTTTTTGCCTATTTTTGGGAGAATTTCATGTTACTAAATTCTTCGAACATTATTTTTGTATCGTCCTGTATAGTTTCGTGCAGTTACTCATGCAACGCGACGCGAGTTTATTTTTCTTCCCGCGACAGCAACATGACTCTGGAAAAGTATGCAGAAAAGCATGTTTCCACAACATAATTGCGCCGATTTATCACGGGGCTGGCATGGTTTATTACACGAACGAAATTCCATTACAGGCTTTGCAGAAAAATACTCACTTTGGTATCGAATCAGTCACGGGAGTGGCGTAATAGAGATTCCATTGTCTCGATAAGTTATCGAACACTGATAAGTCCACCGTCTCTTCCTCTTTTCCAAGATTCATTATTGCGTAAACAGATCCATCGTTCAAGGTTTCCCTGAAACAACAAAATAACGGAAAATAACAGAATTTTTCCGTTTCGATTCATAATTGACTATCGGTGGAATATTTATACTTAATAATAAGTAATTGATTGGCGGTTCAACAGACAAATTGATGGCGTTCGTTACGATTTATTCGAAGTCATCGTCTTACCTGGCAAACGATAAAACATTCTCGTTCAGTAGCTTCGTGGTAAGGTTTCCATTTTGAACAATCGGTGATTTCTTCAGCTTCGAAACTGCTTCGTAGAAACTGTAGTAAGAGTTAGGGTCTCCCTTCTCTGTGGCCAGATTCACGGTTTTGTAATTCCCGTTAACCGGAAGCCAGGTTTTCGAGCTTGTGGAGAATCCTGGAACATCAAAATTGTCGATTTACAGTTTTAATAATAATATAAAAGTTAGAATCATAGTTGCAAATTCAAATGACTGATGGAGCTCGAAATAATGGTAATTTATAATTTGTCTTCAGGTAAAATTAATTTAAATAATTCTCGGTATTTCACATTAATACAGGAATGAATTATAAACAGAATTAAAAGAAACTTTTAAACAGAAAAGTATTATACATTGTTAAATTGATTCTTGATAGCAAATTGCATTTTATGTGCTATTTATTTATATAAGTATGAGACACATTCTGTTAGAAATTTTTGACACATTTTACACACAAAACGATAAGTTTGAAAATCAATTATTGCATCCAAAATTGCAAAAGACAATGTACCATTAAGAAGACTATACAGTCAAATAATAGATACTTGCAGTTATTATTTTAATAACATTCTTCTAATTTCTTCTTCACAGAGACAGGAAAAATCATAGATTTAAAGAATGATTGACTCTAAGGAAATCTTCATTTTTAAAGCTTAGATATAAAAATGGCGCTTAAATCAATCACAAAGGAAGTCTAGACTTGCATCTATTTCCTTCAAACTAATTATGAAAGAAGACTTTATTTTGGAGCCATTTAATTAGCCCATTAAAACTAGTTTTTTATACAGTTTCCATATACATATTCCTGGCCACTTTTCTTCCCCAATTTTCCATAGACATGTATCAATAAATCTGAGTCTCAGGATGAAACTTAATTTTATCGACACATTCTGATCAGATTCTCGGAATGAATCCTCAAGAATATTGTATTTCAAGCGTTTGTAATGCAAACATAGTCATTAAAGTGTCCCCAACACTATCCAAATCACGTTCGCCCTAATTGTGGATTTCCTTTGTCCACAGAGTGCAGAGTACCCACTTTGCGCGAGCAGTGTTCGACACAACCGCGATTCTCTCGTTCCGTTTCGCCTGATCTAAATATGCAAATGTGTCTCCGACAAGCTCAGCGGGCGGGATCCTGTCAAACGGTGAAAACTCACCTGCGGAGACTGTGTTGTCCCATTGGAATGGGGTCCTGGCAGGATCCCTGGAGTTGGTTTCGTAGCGTTCTTTGCCGGCGTTGCATCCCTGCGGGTCTTTTGTGTCCTCCCACGAGATCCACGTGTCCTTCATGCCGATCTCCTCGCCGTTGTACGTCACGCTGATGCCTGGCAGTAAAAGCGTCATCAGGGTAACGGCGCGAGCTCGTTCCGCACCGAATCGAGTTACCAGCCTTGATTTATCGTGATTCCCAGCCTGCATAAAGAATTTCCGCGTTCGTTCGTTGTACGGAAACAATTTCATGCTAGCTCCGCGTTTTCTCTCTCGATATTTATTAGTTTTACCGCCAACGCGAGAGAGAAGCGATTTTCCAGTGCAAAATTGTACAGTAGAACACGAGTGTGTGTTTACATTTCATTTGACTACACCATTTGCTATTTCATCGTTCTGGAAAAATTATTTTCGGTTGTGGGGGCCAATTACAATAATTCTTGGTGAATAGGCCTACCTCCGAAATCCTAACCATTTTCGAGAAAAAAATTCGAGAATGTATGAAGTTTTTCGACAAAATTCAAAAATTTCAAAACCGTTCTGGAAAAATTATTTTCGATTACGGGGATTAATTACAATAATTTTTGGTGACTAGACCTATCCCCGAAATCCTAACCATTTTCGAGAAAAAAATTCGAGAATGTGTGAAATTTTACGACAAGATTAAAAAATTTCAAATCGTTCTGAAAAAATTATTTTTAGTTACAGGGTTTAATTGCAATTATATTTGGTCATTACTCGTATCATCGAATTCCTATCCACTTTCGAGAAAAAAATTCGAGAATGTATGAAGTTTTTCGACAAAATTCAAAAATTTCAAAACCGTTCTGGAAAAATTATTTTCGATTACGGGGATTAATTACAATAATTTTTGGTGACTAGACCTATCCCCGAAATCCTAACCATTTTCGAGAAAAAAATTCGAGAATGTGTGAAATTTTACGACAAAATTAAAAAATTTCAAATCGTTCTGAAAAAATTATTTTTAGTTACAGGGTTTAATTGCAATTATATTTGGTCATTACTCGTATCATCGAAATCCTATCCACTTTCGAGAAAAAAATTCGAGAATGTATGAAGTTTTTCGACAAAATTCAAAAATTTCAAAACCGTTCTGGAAAAATTATTTTCGATTACGGGGATTAATTACAATAATTTTTGGTGACTAGACCTATCCCCGAAATCCTAACCATTTTCGAGAAAAAAATTCGAGAATATATGAAATATTTCAACAAAATTAAAAAACTTCAAATCTTTCTAAAAAAAATATTTTCAGTTGAAGGGGTCAATTATAATCAATTTTGGTCAATAGACATACCCCCGAAATCCTACCCACTTTCGAGAAAAAAATTCAGTATGATCGGAACTTTAAACGTTAATAACTTTTTAACAAAGGCTCCATAAATAAATTAGTATTTTTGATTTTCGTCTTATTTTGACCTCTAGAATCTCCCATTAAAAGTTTTCATAGGGTTGACTGAACACCCTGTATAATACATATTATAAAGCTTTTATGTTTCTTGACAAATAAAAATTCGAAATTTTGACAAAAAATTTAGTTACTGATTAAATTACGTTTACTTTAATCTGCCTTCAAATAACTGACACCAAACGAAATTTGTGAATGTATCCTCTAAAAATTTAGAAATTCGTTTGCACCTACCACCCAATTAGCTGCATTGCCATGCGGCATATTCGACATCCATTTACTGATCAGATTATTGAAATCCGAAGCCGTCGAATCTTGATTCACGTCCGTGATCATTCCAAAATTGAAAGGGAAGTGTGCACCGGACACGTAATACTTCATTGTCATCGACGTATTTGCATAAGCTTCGACCATCATGATTTTGCTCGAGTTCGTATACTCGTCGAGGACCCCTCTCCAACCTTGCACGATCTCGTACGTACGCGGCTGATCGGTCGTGTATATTTTCTGCGTGTACGTGTAATTTTTAGGGTCGCTGGTTCGTCCTGTCAATGGTTCGTCCAAATATCGGACGTCTTCGGAAATGAAAGGCACAGCGTCGATTCTGAAGCCATCCACGCCTTTGTTCAACCAAAATCTCAGTACATTCTGCAAAACAATGGTGATCATTGCATGTACTTTGACAATTTTAACATTAGTTTCATCAGTTTGATACACACCGAAGCTTTTAATATTAGACATATATATTCTAATGAAAAACGATCCTCGATATACAATTGTACCCGTTGATCTAAACAACGTATGAGACGAATGAACGTCGTGCAAAAATGTCATAACGTTGACATATCATTTTTCAACGTGTAAATGGGAATTTTTTGATGACGATTTATTCCAATCTTCGATGTTTCGTTAAATTCAAACATTCTCTTGACGAAGATTAGCCCTTTGATTTAAGAAGAGAGAAACAAGGAATACCAATACCAGAAAATTCATATAATTAATATACCATCCTCTTAAGCAAGAAAGGTGCTCATTAATCTTAATGGATGAGAATTGCTACGAGTTTTTTACGTCATCTTTTATTCGATTCCTTAATATATAAGCAATCAATAGAACCAATATGCAAGGATTCGTTCGAACAATGAAATTTCATTTTATTTATTTACATAAGTAAAAAATACATGTGTTGTGCTAATTTTATATGAGACGAACAAAACAAAATTTTCACAACATTTACAAATTTTCGAATCTTCTAATTTTCTAATTTGTTCATTTTTAAATTTACCATTTCTACACACTATACAAATACGAGGGCTGAAAGTTGGAGGAATTTTAAGCCGACTAATATTTTATAATAAATATTGATTTAATATACAGTGTGTTACACGAACTCTGTACTGTCTCTGTCCACTTGAATATCTTCCAAAATGTTACATACATATGGAAGTTGTGGGGTTCAAAGTACATTTTCAAGAAATTTAAGTGGACAGAGTTCGTGAGTCACGCTGTAGCCGAGTATGTTTATAGCACGTCGAATGGCACGCAGGCCGAGTATATCTAATAATTTTTGCACACGGACTTCCCCTGATAACAATGCACACTGTTATCCGAATAAAAGTTTCGCTATCGGCGCTACTACTTGCACAAGCGTGATAATCTGTTAAGACGACTGCAAGCAACGAGATAGCGCGATCAGATAACGCGGCTCTCATCCAGGCTGGGGAAATTTAATCAGAGTCAAGCAGGTTTAAGCGGAATTATAATAGTCAGCTTCGTCTCCAATATAACTTGTCATCGACATGATTCGATGGGATTGTCTGCCGGTGCCTAATTTTGCCCAGGAGGAGCCACGAGCGGAATTAGGGGTTCGTTGCCAGGCTGATGGTAATTCGATTCTGGTGAAAATTCTGTGTCCTGAAACTGGGACCCGATTGAATCTACTCGATATACTTACACTGACGAGACGTGCACGTGTACTCTTCGAAAATTGAAAGCAACTTTAATTAACCAGTTAAGTGTGTTTGACGACTATATCCTAAATAATTTTAAGATCATTGACACGTGACTTATAAGTAGACTGCGGATATTCATGCAAGTTCATATTTTTATTAATAAAATTATTGAAATTGGAGCTTTGTAGAGGGTTGTCTCAACCCCTAGACATAATAATTCGTATCTTACTTGAAGTATTTCTTATATTTTTGCATGTTAAATGCATTCTGTAGTTTTTTTGAGGATTAAAATTTCCCATAAATGCATAAACGTCCGCAGTCTACTTATAAGTATACCTTACGTAAATCTAATAATTTGAAAAGAGTAACAGGCTATTTCGATGGAATATTAATACGATGACTATAGTTTCATCGATTAGATCTCCAATTACGATAGTATTCGAAATAGTTCTTATCTCTAGAGCCAATTGTTACACCATCGTGACTCAATGTTGTGATTATACGTCGAAATTGGTAGCAATGCCAATCAGTGTGGTGAACGAAGAAACTTTTCTATGATAAATTACGATCGTTATCGTAACACTTACAGGTTATCTGGAGGATTTGTAAAAGGTGATTCATAGAAAGCGTTGCAAAATGTTGCTAGCGTTGAATATAAATGAAATAGACGATGACGTGGAAATTTATATTCGTTCTTTTAATGTCTAGAGTCAGTCGTGTTGGAAGATTTAATACTTTTGCATGGAATTTCATTTTTTTTGATAGCAATATATAATAGACCTAACCCAGACCTAACCCAGACCTAAATTAGACCTAACCCAGACCTAACCCAGACCTAAATTAGACCTAACCCAGACCTAACCCAGATCTAACCCAGATCTAACCCAGACCTAACCCAGACCTAACCCAGACCTAATTCAGGCCTAATCCAGACCTAATCCAGACCTAAATTAGACCTAATCCAGACCTAACCCAGACCTAACCCAGATCTAACTTAAATATTCACAGTAGAAAGTTTCATTAAATATTTATCTTAATGTGAAACAATAATTTAAAGCTACATTTTACTGGTCTCAAAGTAAATTTTTTGTGCAATCTTTTAGCATAGAAACTCCTTTTTTGAGAACAAAGTTGTAATTCTATGGAACATATTGAAGCAAGCATAACTTTGTGGGTAAATTCATTACGTAAATATAATACAAAATGCTGCTAAACACATTTATCCATCTTGGTTTTGTTTTAGAAGTACAAGGTATTTTGTATTTCAATAACCAGACCTAATTCAGGCCTAATCCAGACCTAACCCAGACCTAATTCAGGCCTAATCCAGACCTAACCCAGGCCTAATTCAGGCCTAATCCAGACCTAACCCAGACCTAATTCAGGCCTAATCCAGACCTAACCCAGACCTAATTCAGGCCTAATCCAGACCTAACCCAGATCTAATCTAGATCTAATCCAGACCTAACCCAGACCTAATTCAGGCCTAATCCAGACCTAACCCAGACCTAATTCAGGCCTAATCCAGACCTAACCCAGATCTAATCTAGATCTAATCCAGACCTAACCCAGACCTAATTCAGGCCTAATCCAGACCTAACCCAGATCTAACTCAGACCTAATTCAGGCCTAATCCAGACCTAACCCAGACCTAATTCAGGCCTAATCCAGACCTAACCCAGACCTAACCCAGACCTAACCCAGACCTAATTCAGGCCTAATCCAGACCTAACCCAGACCTAATTCAGGCCTAATCCAGACCTAACCCAGACCTAATTCAGGCCTAATCCAGACTTAACCCAGATCTAACTCAGGCCTAATCCAGACCTAACCCAGACCTAATTCAGGCCTAATCCAGACCTAACCCAGACCTAATTCAGGCCTAATCCAGACCTAACCCAGATCTAACTCAGACCTAATCCAGACCTAACCCAGATCTAACTCAGACCTAATTCAGGCCTAATCCAGACCTAACCCAGACCTAACCCAGACCTAAATTAGACCTAAATTAGACCTAACCCAGACCTAACCCAGACCTAATTCAGGCCTAATCCAGACCTAACCCAGACCTAATTCAGGCCTAATCCAGACTTAACCCAGATCTAACTCAGGCCTAATCCAGACCTAACCCAGACCTAATTCAGGCCTAATCCAGACCTAACCCAGACCTAATTCAGGCCTAATCCAGACCTAACCCAGACCTAATTCAGGCCTAATCCAGACCTAACCCAGATCTAATCTAGATCTAATCCAGACCTAACCCAGACCTAATTCAGGCCTAATCCAGACCTAACCCAGACCTAATTCAGGCCTAATCCAGACCTAACCCAGATCTAATCTAGATCTAATCCAGACCTAACCCAGACCTAATTCAGGCCTAATCCAGACCTAACCCAGATCTAACTCAGACCTAATTCAGGCCTAATCCAGACCTAACCCAGACCTAATTCAGGCCTAATCCAGACCTAACCCAGACCTAACCCAGACCTAACCCAGACCTAATTCAGGCCTAATCCAGACCTAACCCAGACCTAATTCAGGCCTAATCCAGACCTAACCCAGACCTAATTCAGGCCTAATCCAGACTTAACCCAGATCTAACTCAGGCCTAATCCAGACCTAACCCAGACCTAATTCAGGCCTAATCCAGACCTAACCCAGACCTAATTCAGGCCTAATCCAGACCTAACCCAGATCTAACTCAGACCTAATCCAGACCTAACCCAGATCTAACTCAGACCTAATTCAGGCCTAATCCAGACCTAACCCAGACCTAACCCAGACCTAAATTAGACCTAAATTAGACCTAACCCAGATCTAATCCAGATCTAACCCAGACCTAACCCAAACCTATTTCTTCGATCAATATATTGATAAATTAACGTATCAACTGGCTTTTTAGATCTCTGAACAAATAAAATCTTAACATATTTACGATCAGAGCTAAAAAATTACATCGACTTGATCTATTATTTATTAGAATTTTAAATCTTTTTGTAATATGAATGAAATAGAATGTTTAGAAATGGATTCTCATCTTTTTAAGTATGCAATAAAATTGTTTGCAACACGTTGTTTACATTGCAGCTATGTTTTTCCATTAAAAGGTATTTTTAATAATTCTCCAACTATGCAAAACATGAAAAACAAACTTCAAAATGATGCTTCGTGTTTACAGGAAGTCTGGCCAAAAATGTTCAAATGATATCTCGTTTAAAAAATAAACGAGAATGTAATTGGTTCCAACGAAACATGAAATATGAAACTTATGAATATGAAAACATTTAAAACGTATTACAGCTTGCATAGTGTTTAAAATGCGTGTTCTGAAATTGAAACGTACGATGCGAAATTCCGTTTAAATTTATGCATTTTTAGTAGAGCATGAGGCTTAAAATTTATACGGTTCGCGAGTTACGATATTAAAATGGACAGAATCTCTGCTTAATAATCCGAGTCCTGCGTGAAATTTATCTCGCTTTTGTTAGAGTAATCCAATAATCGGATATCCTGGTTTCGAACAAAGTCACACGCATAATTACGATTATTCCAAAGCACCTACCTGCATTTCTTGTACAACGCCTTCGTTATTGTAATTCAAATCTGGCTGTTCCGGTGCAAATTGGTGAAGGTAATACGCCTGGCGCTCATCTCGCCATGTCCAAGCTGGACCTCCAAACACGCTCACCTGTGAGCAAAAAAATTAAATGAAATTGTTAAAAATATGTAGTAAAAGTTACTTTTTGTTTTGTGTGGTTGGTTACAGTGCTGTGTGTCCCCTTTCTTATGTATTTCAGGTGTCGAGATTCGAGTGTGTGTGTGTGTGCTCACGAGGATGGTAAAATGAGCTTCGAGTTATCACAGTTTTTTGTTTGTTACCTTTATTTAATAATAGAGAAATTTTCATATATCCAGTGAAAATTATCAATAATTGAATATGATTTAAAATTAAATACTATAAATTGACTATTTATTTGTCCAAATTAATAAACAAATATTGAACAAATTGAGCTTATTTTCTTTAATTATAACAGAAACAGTTGCATGTATTATTAGAGGCACCAAAGTAAACGATCATAGTATTGTTCAACGTTTGTTAAAAGTAATATACACATATAGTTATATTAATGATAATCTAAATTGTGATTAGAAAATATTCAGTTTTGTATCGAATAAAATGTCATAATTTTTTCAAATTCTGCAAATCGAACTACCTTTAAACAAAAGTACTATACAGGGTGTTCGTCCACCCCTGGGAAAAATTTTAATGGGAGATTTTAGAAACCAAAATAAAAGTTATATCGAATATTTTCGGTAAATAATTTTTTTCTCGAAAGTGCGTAGGATTTCAGGGGTGTATCTATTCACCAAAAATAATTGTAATTGATCCCTGTAATAGAAAATAATTTTTCCAAAAAGATTAGAAATTTTCTAATTTTGTCAACTTTCTGAATTTTTTTTCTCGAAAGTGCGTAGGATTTCGGCGGTGTGACTATTCACCAAAAATGATTGTAATTGACCCCTGTAATAGAAAATAATTTTTTCAGAAAGATTTGAAATTTTTTAATTTTGTCGATTTTGTCAACTTTCTGAATTTTTTTTCTCGATAGTGCGTAGGATTTCAGGGGTGTATCTATTGACCAAAATTGATTGTAATTGACCCCTGCAATCGAAAATAATTTTTCCAGAAAGATTAGAAATTTTCTAATTTTGTCAACTTTCTGAATTTTTTTCTTGAAAGTACTTAGGATTTCAGGGGTGTATCTATTGACAACAAATGATTGCAATTGACCCCTGCAATCGAAAATAATTTTTTCAGAACGATTCGAAACACATGAAATTTCAGGGGAATCATTCATTCATGATCAGACATCATATTTTCGGTAGGGAATTTTTTTCTCGAAAATGGATAGGATTTCGGGGGTATGTCTATTCACCAAAAATAATTGTGATTCACCCCTGCAACTAAATATAATTTTTTTAATATGATTTGAAATTTTTTAATTTCGTCTAAACATTTCGGTACCTTCTCGAATTTTTTTCTCGAAAGTGTGTAGAAACTCGAGGATATGTGTAATCACCAAAAATGCTTGTAATTGATCCCCGCAATTAAAAATAATTTTTTCAGAATGATTTGAAATTTTTTTTTTCCGTGGAAAAGTTTCACACGTTCTCGAATTTTTTTCTAGAAAGTGGGCAGGATTTCGGGGATATGTCTATTCACCAAAAATTATTGTAATTGACCTCTGCAACTAAAAATAATTTTTTCAGAATGATTTGAAATTTTTTATTTAATTTTTTAACGAAGAAATTGATATTCTTCATTTTCGTCTTATTTTGGCTTGTACAATCTCCCATTAAAATTTTTTCCAGAGATGGTCGAACACCCTGTATTATAATGCATAGAATTACGATAGAATCTATACCAGTTATTGTTTATGCAAAATACTAGACTTTCTAGAGTCCAATTTTGATGGGTTTTTATGGTTTTTTTTAAATATACGTCGAATTTTTTGTATTTTAAATCAGTATGCTTCGAATCACTATTTTTGAATGTATTAATCGATTCAACTCTCCATTCCCAACCAAGAAGTACTGCATTATTTATAACGAAAAGCTATTTGTTTAAAAACTATTTCAATCGAATAATTTAAAAGCTTCAATATTTACGTTTAAATATCCTTTAAACTAACTATTTTTCACCATAAATGAATTAATAGTTTTTCATAGAAAATGGCTGGTTACATCGAACGGTGCATTAAAAAACATATGATTCTATTTTAAAAAGCATTAATAATCTTCTTGCGAAGGAAATAATTATAGCAGATTATGCACCCCTCAAAAAACTATTTAATTTTGCTCTCAAATATTTCCACAAATATGATATCGATTTAATATAAAAATCAAATTAAACTCACCCAGTTATTTGGTGGAGCAAAATAGCCATTTTCAGTCATTGTTCCGTTTTGCCATACATAAAAATCATTGTAGGGTTCGATGTTTTGCAAACTCTTCTGGAACCATTCGTGCTTGTCCGAGGAATGATTTGGAACGAAATCTACGATCACCTTCAAAGATTTCGCGTGTGCAACCGCCACCAACTTCTCGAAATCCTCCATCGTCCCGAAAACGGGATCGATGCTTTCGAAATCGGAAATATCGTAACCGAAATCAACCATCGGACTGGGATAAATGGGGGACAGCCAAAAAGCATCGACGTTCGATTCGGACAGGTGATCCAACTTGCTCGTGATACCTGGAACCGAAGAAAAATTGATTATTCGGTGAAGGATCGATCTCTATGATCGGCCATTATTCCTTCGATTTCTGTGGTTAAATAAATACAAACACTTTGGTACCCCATTTAAAAAATACAACTCTTCCAATTGATTCTACCAAATTATTTCCTTATATTTATTCCTGTATTTTTAATTATTATTTTACTGCAAAGTTTTTAATTTCTAATATCAAAGGACAATTCATGGAGAACATTACAAGATATTTTTTAATTAATTTATTTAGTAGATCTAGCAGAACAAAGAAATTTTGCCCATGGACCTTCTTACTGATATCTTTAATATTTTAAATATCATATAATATCTTTAATATCTTAAAACTTGCAAATAGCAAATATTATTATGAATTATCTATTTGTTCCATTCAGGGACTCATCTCCATTGCTAGAAAAACAAATTACTTCAAATCCATTCTCCTAAATCCGGTTAAAGGAACTCTCTATTAAATATGGGGTCTGTTAAAAAATTCTGAAATTAATTTATAGATTAAAAATGAATAGGAAGTATTAAAAAATTAATATGTAACTATAAATTATTTGTTTAACAAGGAATGATTATACAGTAAAATTACATGGTTTCGTAGGCGTTATTAGATGATTTATTAATTTTTTTTGTTGACGTTTCCAAGATTTGAAGATCAATTTCATTTTTTTGAAAAAAAACTAGTATAATACTTTGGTTGACCTTGATTGATGTTCAATCATAGCTTGCTTCGTAACATTTAAGACCATAAAACATGTACACAGTATAGTAATTTAAAGAGTACAATTCCAATGTTTTTGCATATCTAGATATCTATTATTTTTAATATTGATATACCATTAAAACTTCTATCTTTTGCTAAAATAATAAAACATTAAAAGAATTTTCATTAGGAAAAGAATTCATTGTGCACCTAATGACACTCGAAATCATGCAAATTTTGTATATAACAGTGCTTCGTAAAATGCAGAAATTACAAACTATTTACTATAAATAATTTTTATCGTGTAAGGTACATAATTAACGTTCGTTTAAAATGATGTAGTAAAATTGTTAGTATGGCAAATATTCGTGTATAAAAAATCTTTATTTTTGAAAAGATTTAAACTGGATATTTAAAAATAAGATTATAAGAACGTTTTAGAAACATACAGGGTGCTCGGCCACCTCTAGCAAAAATTTTAATGAGCGATAGTAGAGGCCAAAATAAGACGAAAATCAAGAATACCAATTTGTTGGTGGAAGCTTCGTTAAAAAGTTATTAACGTTTAAAGTGCCGCCCTTACTGAATTTTTTTCTCGAAAATGCGCAAGATTTCGGGGGTATGTCTATTCACCAAAAATGACTGTAATTGAACCCTACAACCGAAAATAATTTTTCCACAACGATTTGCAATTTTTTAATTTTCTCGAATAATTTTCACACCTTCTCTATTTTTTTTCTCGAAATTGGGCAGGATTTCGTGGGTATGTCTAATGACAAAAACTGATTGTAATTGACCCCCGCGACCGAAAATAATTTTTCCACAACGATTTGCAATTTTTTTTCTCCGTTGAAAAATTTAGGCACCTGATTGGATTTTCAGTAAGGAATTTTTTTCTCGAAAGTCCGTACAATTTCGGAGGTATGCGTAATGATAAAAAATGATTGTAATCGATCCCCGCAACCGAAAATAATTTTTTTAGAACGATTTGAAAAATTTCTTTTCGCCGAAAAATTTCAGCACCTACTCGATTTTTTTTCTCGAAAGTAGATAGGATTTCGGAGGTATGTGTACTCACCAAAAATGATTGCAGTTGACCCCCGCAACCGAAAATAATTTTTCCAGAACGATTTGAAATTTTTGAATTTAATTGTTAATAACTTTTTAACGAAGCTTCCATCAACAAATTAGTATTCTTGATTTTCGTCTTATTTTGGCCTCTACTATCGCTCATTAAAATTTTTGCTAGAGGTGGCCGAACACCCTGTATATTGTATCTTAATTTGTATTTTCTAAGCCAGGCACGCCAGTATTCGATTATTTATGTACATCAGTGTATATGTATGTGTATATTTATAGTGTTGAAGAAGTGAAAAATCATTTATATCACATTCAGTTTGAGAAAACAACTATTTAAATTGCTTTCAAAGAGTTCATTAGTAGAAATGCAAGTGTCACTAATATTGATAAAAGTACCATGTTGTCTAAATTGTATTTAACTTTATAATTGATAAAATTGATTTTTAAACAAGTTATTGTAATTTAGAATTCGTTGTTATACTTCGTTCTTGCAATGAACATATGTTTCGAACTGTTGAATGTCTTTTTCCCTAGTTTTATGCTAAAATTAGGAATGTGTAAGTTAGACACTAATGGTGATTATGGTCTAAGCTTAAATCATGAACTGCTGGCCCAGTTTGGCAATGCCAGAACATTGAATCTCAGAATTAATCGAATTTCACATTCGTGGTTCTGGCATTAGAAGAATAATTTGGAATAATCGAAGTCAACATCAACAAAATGTAGAAACATCATCTCAACTTTATCTCGTTTTTTATGGTGAACGAAATTTCCATGTTTAACACGTTCACTGCCAGATTTTAGACAATTCTAAGCTACATAACTTAAAATTTGTGTCAGTATTTATGCTCGTAACCTTATTAAAATTCACAAATTCCATTCAAATTTATTTCCCTCGACATAAGCAGTCAACTTCCGGTTCTTATTCTCAGCCAACTATTAATATTGCCTTCTTTCTCGATATATCAATTTTTACACCGTTAATAACTTCATGGAACACGGTGGATTCGTTCATTTCGAAAAGCAATTAACCTTAGAAAAGGGTGTAGCCGAATGAGGGGGTCAAATGTGGCCCCAAAACCGAATTGAACGAATGACGTGTCATTCGATAGGCTATCCAAAAAAAACCATGTGTATTAATATCGTTAATTTCGTGCAATATGGACGTCGAATAAAAAAAGGAAAAGAAAATTCTAGTATAAAATCTGTCGCCTTTAAGTTAAAATTCATCCTCTTTAAGATCATATACGGTGTAAAATTGTTGAAAATATGAACTCCAGAGAAGACACGTGACCCCATACCTGCCAAATCGCCCACGCCATCCCCGTCGCTGTCCTTAAAGCTCCTAGGATAAATCTGATAAAGCGACATCGTCCTCCACCAGTCCCTGTTGCCCTGATCGCTGCCAGCGACCATGGACAATGATATTACACAAAACACTATTACGGCCTTCATGTTTCCTAAACACACAGAATGTTGAATATGAAATTAGTTGCTTAATCGCGTGACTTTGGGCTTAGGTTTGCGATTGCAACGATTCAAAGTCGCTGAATAAATTTGAACCTCACGGTTGCAATTTTACCGAGGGGGGAGGGGAGGGGGGGGGTGGGGGTGGGGGACGAAAGTAATGGGGGAAAAAATTGCTTTTAACGAGTTTTAACTCCCGAGAAATCGAAATCGCGATGATCTACGGTCGCCATTCGAGTAATTACGAGACGTTTCGTCGCTCCAAGTGTCGCAACGCGTTATTAATTTGGATATCAGTCCGGTTACCTGGCGGCTCTAACATCAACTGCTGCGAAATCTAACGGCAGCTTCCTCCTTTTATAGCCGCGTTGTGTAATTCGAGCGACGCGAGGTCTGAGGTCTTGATGTCTCTATGCGGACGCGGATCGATCTTTATCAAACTCTCCCGATTTGTTATTCGAGAGTATATTCTCTTATCGAGGTATTTTGTTCGGGAACTGGCTCGACTGATAATCGAGCTGCAAATATTCCATGGATTGATTTGATCGAGGAGGATACACTTTTATCGAGCCTTCGAGTGTTTCGTATTCTGATGCAAACGCTGGAATGTTGCACGTTTTTATCATTCAAGGCGCTAATGATGAACAAAATTCTGGTAGATCGTAGTATAATGAGAGCTTAAGAGGTAGAACAAGATTGCGTTAACCCTTTGCACTCCTATGTCGAGTTATTTAAAAAACAAATCAAAAAGATATCATGCACTGGAAAATTAGAAAATACAGCAGTAAATGAAACAGATTTTTAATCGAATTTGCTTGTGTTCCTCTGTTTGTTCAAATTGTCCTATTTTTTAGTTAACGTAAACTTCAAATAAAACACTTAAAAGCGTCTGGAAAATTCTGGCGTGGCTTGAATCGAGTTTTTATCCGATAATTCTTGCGATTCTACGTTTTCCCAAGCGTTCCTTTTCACTGACATTTAATATCGCTACAACTGAACCATCTGAACCAATATTATTGTGTATTATAATATTATAATATGTATATAATATTAGTATGTTTTCACAATCTTTCGATGACTATTTTCTTATTGAAGAAATATAGCAACAAATGTAAAAAATACTTTTTATAGAATTTCATTTTAATTTTTCCAAAAATGCAATTGTTCACGTATTTATAATTTGTAACACACTAAATATTAAACACAATAAATTCAGATTCAATTATTCAAGTCTACAACTAAAACGCTGTATTGGAAGCTGTGAAAATTGATTCACAATTTCTAATAGGAAAAATCGTGTGTTTCGACTTTAAAAGTTCAAGATTCAATTATTTAAAAAAATAAAAAAATAAATATAAAAATATTCGTAAGCTTTAACAATCTTTCGATGACTATTTTCTTCTTATCGAAGAAATATAGCAAGAAATGTAAAAAAATTTCATTTTAATTTTTCCAAAAATGCAATTATTCACGTATTTATAATTTGTAACACACTAAATATTAAACACAATAAATTCAGATTCAATTATTCAAGTCTACAACTAAAACGCTGTATTGGAAGCTGTGAAAATTGATTCACAACTTCTAATAGGAAAAATCGTGTGTTTCGACTTTAAAAATTCAAGATTCAATTATTTAAAAAAATAAAAAAATAAATATAAAAATATTCGTAAGCTTTAACAATCTTTCGATGACTATTTTCTTCTTATCGAAGAAATATAGCAAGAAATGTAAAAAAATTTCATTTTAATTTTTCCAAAAATGCAATTATTCACGTATTTATAATTTGTAACACACTAAATATTAAACACAATAAATTCAGATTCAATTATTCAAGTCTACAACTAAAACGCTGTATTGGAAGCTGTGAAAATTGATTCACAACTTCTAATAGGAAAAATCGTGTGTTTCGACTTTAAAAGTTCAAGATTCAATTATTTAAAAAAATAAAAAAATAAATATAAAAATATTCGTAAGCTTTAACAATCTTTCGATGACCATTTTCTTCTTATCGAAGAAATATAGCAAGAAATGTAAAAAAATTTCATTTTAATTTCTCCAAAAATGCAATTATTCGCGTATTTATAATTTGTAACACACTAAATATTAAACACAATAAATTCAGATTCATTTATTGAAGTCTACAACCAAAACACTGTATTGGAAGCTGTGAAAATTGATTCACAACTTCTAATAGGAAAAATCGTGTGTTTCGACTTTAAAAGTTCAAAATTCAATTATTTAAAAAAATAAAAAAATAAATATAAAAATATTCGTAAGCTTTAACAATCTTTCGATGACCATTTTCTTCTTATCGAAGAAATATAGCAAGAAATGTAAAAAAAACTTCATTTTAATTTTTCCAAAAATGCAATTATTCACGTATTTATAATTTGTAACACACTAAATATTAAATACAATAAATTCAGATTCAATTATTGAAGTCTACAACTAAAACACTGTATTGGAAGCTGTGAAAATTGATTCACAACTTCTAATAGGAAAAATCGTGTGTTTCGACTTTAAAAATTCAAGATTCAATTATTTAAAAAAATAAAAAAATAAATATAAAAATATTCGTAAGTTTTAACAATCTTTCGATGACCATTTTCTTCTTATCGAAGAAATATAGCAAGAAATGTAAAAAAATTTCATTTTAATTTTTCCAAAAATGCAATTATTCACGTGTTTATAATTTGTAACACACTAAATATTAAACACAATAAATTCAGATTCAATTATTGAAGTCTACAACCAAAACACTGTATTGGAAGCTGTGAAAATTGATTAAAAAATTCTAATAGGAAAAGTCGTGTGTTTCAAGATTCAATTATTTAAAAAAAAATAATTTTTCTTTGCCTACAACGGTAAAAGTGTTTTTATTACTAGATAATTGACGATCGAAAATTGATCAATTTTATTTACCTTCTCAAGTGTCAAGAAATATCGCAAGTTAAAAAAAAGATGCAAATATGGTGACAATTTATAATGAATATATTATGAAAATATAGTAAACGGAAGTATAGTATCGTCTTATTTTACTTTTCGTTACCTAACACTGAACTCGACATCAGGAAGCATCTAAATCGAAACTCCATTGCGACACAACGGATTTGTAGCGTTAATAAGCTCGTCGTCTGTCCATTAATAAATCTTCATCGTCGAGAAGACGATATTTGTTTACAATTTAAAATTGTACACCAGGGCCACTGTTCTCTTTCGACTGCGTTTAATAAGGATCTCGTCGAACAAAAGCGGAATATTTTAAAGCTAACGAGTTCCCAGGTAAATTTAGACGAAGCTTCGACTCTGTCGGTGCTCCTGAAATTCATAAATGATCAACAGCGATGGCTACAGGCGCTTCAATTGTTAATCAAAACAACAGACAACGTACACAATAGAGATTTCATCTTATCGGGGAGTTAAAATACCAAACACATGAAATCTTTGTGATTTTGAATAGACTTCTCTGTTTAAGAACAATCATTCTGTCCTCTATTATTATGAAAATACTTTATACGAGGTTTCAAATAAACAAAAATCAAGTTTCTGTTTGAATTCGCGAAATTGAATCGTGTGCGAATTTTTTATTGAAACTAGAATTAATTACAAGGCTTATTACAGGGTTGAGTTAGAATTGAACTAGATTAATCTGGGTTCAAACTTAGAACCTTTCAAGATATTGATCAAGAATCAAGAATATCAATTTCTTTGATAAAAAGTTATTAAAAAATTAAATTAAAAAATTTCAAATCATTCTGAAAAAAATATTTTTGCTTGTGGGGGTCAATTATAAACATTTTTGGTGAATAGATATACCCCCGAAATCCTACGCATTTTCGAGAAAAAAATTCGTTACTGATAGTATAATGTCTGATCATGAATGAATGATTCCCCTGATATTTCATGTGTTTCAAATCGTTCTGAAAAAATTATTCTCGGTTGAAGGGGTAAATTGCAATCATTTTTGGTGAATAGACACAACCCCGAAATCTTACCCACTTTCGAGAAAAAAATTCGAGAAGGTGTGAAATTTATCGACAAAAACCTTTAATTGAATAATTTTGCCTAATATAGTTTCTGGTTAAATTTTGTTAATAGTAATCAAATGAACTGATCCTATGATACATATTGGGATGTGCAATGATCAATAATTTTATGATACCGTAATTTAATAGAATAATTTTGCCTAATATATTTGTCACGCTACGTTGAAGCAAATGATCCAGTAATTCTGCGTGAAAATCACATTTTTGTTTCAATATAAGCTACTGGGTATAACATTATTTTTGGTTCAAACACTATAAATTAGAAAAAAGAACGATTATAGAAATTAAAAGATTATTAATATCTACTTATACCAAAAATCTCATAAATTGTATAGTTGAGCTAATAAGAGAATTGACTCGAAAAACTTTCACTATTTAGTGGCGAAATATATGGAAAATAGTATGGTAAACTGATTTAACATCTTAGTAACCATAAGTTTATGTATACAAAATAAATCTCAGTAGAATCACCGTAAGTACGAACGATACGTAATGTTTTGAATTAAAAAGGAATTATCGAACGGAAGATAAGATGATTGAACCAGATTCCGGCTGAAGTATGATAGATTACACATTTGCTGATTGTAAATCTTATTAATTGACATTCAGTGCGTGTTAATCCAATTCTTTCTTTCACATTTCCGGGTGCTTTTAATATTATTGTAAAAAAGTAATCTTACAAGGAAATTCTTTCTTTTCTTTGTTCGACTGTTGCTTATTCTGATGCAATGTTTTTCATCGTTCGATCAATGTGTCGAAAAGTAATTAATTCGACTGTATCAATAATTCTGAAACGAAAATTCGAAATTCTGATGAAATTCTTTTGGGGTTCGTGAAAAGTGAAACGATTATTTTGTGATATTTCTAAATTTTCCATTAATTCGATAACCTCTACGTCGCCGAAATCTATTGAAATTATCGACGATTAATTATCATGATA